AACATCTGCGATGACGCGTACAACTGCTGTTCGTCTCTCATCTCTGCGCTCCTCTTTCATCACTCATTCCTCTTGTTGACCAAACTTTTCTCCTTGCTCACTCTGCAGTCACTCCTCACCTGTGTTCCCCTCCAACACCCCCCTCACTCAGAGCCTTTTCACACTAAATCTCTCTTCCAGTCCTGGAAAATGACAAGAAACGTGGGTGTTCTTTGAATACGTGGTTGGATGGAGAAGGCTTGTAGCTAGACGAGAGGTTGACAAAATCAGTTGTATTTTTAAAATACAAAACTGAGGGGTTTCCAGTAGCAGCATGTTTGCTATGTTAATGGTGGTGTGTTTAGATGCTTGTGTTGGTCAGCACAACTGATAAGTTGGCCCGGCTGATAATCACAGCTGTTTAAATGCTTGTTTATGCTATTTGTCAAATAAAAGTGAGTATGTATGTAAAAAAAAAACAAGCAAATATTGGCAAATATATCTCCTTTTGTAAACTCTGCTAGTCATGCTGCATCAGTCATTTGGCTGGTCTATTGATCTGGCTGACACCAGATTGCCATGCATTTTGCTTTAGGTATTTATGGCCCTTGGGAGATAATCTCTAATGATTTTTGTGACTCCCTGACATTTCGTCTCATGCAGCCTGCAGGTCTTTCTTCTTGACTGACGATTTTGTCCTCGATAAAAGATTTCCCGTAAATGTTCAGCGTCTCTACAAGATTATTCCTTGTTTTTTTCACGACCCCGGTGACCTTTTTCGTCTCGGTTTCCCTCCCTCTGTGTCAGCAGTTCTCTCTCTCTCTCTCTCTCAAGCATCTTGTGTGCACACTTCATGCACAAGTTCACTGAGTTCATTTATTATAGGGGGAATTTGGCATCGCAGACACGCTCACACACCACATGCATTCCGTCTGTTTTACGACGTTTAACAATCACAAACAGCCTCAGATACGTGTAGCAGTGATTTCCCTTAAAAAGTCAGCAAAATCTCACAATTTTCCATGTGTTGCACAGCTGCTCCGTCTCTCAACTTTATTCTGTCTTTGTCTCTTTTGCATCAAATCACCATTATTTGTAAAATATTAATCAGGTATGAAACTTAAATCCCATTTAAATTTTTTGAAAAGCTTTATTTTGAGCAAACCACATCTTCATGCGCTGCAGTTGCCCACAACTGTTAGCAAGGGGGCTATTTTTGTAGCATAAAAAACATTGCTGCCTAAGATATTATTTAAAGGATATTATAAATGTTGGAAACCCTTTCCTGACTTAGATTTACAATACTTATTAATTTCATCAAATGTATAAACCATGCTTATTCCCTCTTCTCAGCCCCGAGTTTATCCACAGTTTGATTGTCTTGTTTTATTTTTCTGTTCAAAACACAGTCTGCCTCCATGTTTGTTTTGGTCTGAAGTCACGTATAAAGTTTGTGGTCCTGCATCTTGACTGAATCTTCTGGTGTGTGACTTCTTAAGATTAAAATTTTTAAAAACTGTTAAATCTGTGGTATCCCACGTTTTAAAAATCATTTAAGATTTGAAAATCCTCTAGTGTGCACCAGGCATTAGCACACAGTAGCTAACAGCTTGTGATTTGGTTACCAATGCCATATGTGCATGGTTTTCTCTTTCTCTCTTAGGCCGCACTTAAATGTCTATTTCCCAAAGACAACCTCTGGATATGACGCTTAGAGCCCGACCAATATGGGTTTTTGGGGGCCGATGCCGATATTAAAGTGAAAAAGAGCTGATTTATGAGCCGATATTTTGATTTTAAGAATGATTTAGATTGTAGACCCCTTTACTGTATAAACTACACTTAGAACAGGCCAATATTGAAAACTGCTATGTATGTGGGCTATAAAACCTTAATAAAATCAATCACGGTCTCTAAAAGTGAACATGTAAACAATTGCACATCAATAAATATTTGCCACTGGAAGGTGCAACTTTTTCAGCCCTCTGTAAACAGAGAGAGTGAGAGAGAATAAGCATGTGTATTTCACTTTACACACATAATCTGACATCATTTCAATGTAGCACATCCACATCCAGTTCATCCCTTTACCAGCACTCTTCTAACCAAAGCTACGTGAAACCATTTAACCACCATCCGTATAAATCATGTCGTCTATGATACAGTCAGCTGCTTTCAAATTGAATGCATCTAATACTACATGACTCTCTACGAGGAGGACCTGCAACTTTGAGATTTCATTTAACTAAGGTTATGGTGCTTTCAGACCAAACGCGAATTTAATCTTTGTGACGCTTTCCATAAGAACCCGCAAAATTCGCTCGAGTTGGAAATTTTAAACTCGCCGGCACCTCCCCTTTCGCGTGGCTTCGTCATTACGAAGCCACTGATAAACACGGTATTAGTTTTGTGGCTAATTTAGCAGGCAGTGTTAGCTGCTGTAACGTTACGTGATTTTAGGGAATATTCAGAAATGATGAACTAGGGACAAATGTGGACCGCTAGAACTGCCACACTGTTTGAAATAAATCTATAGTTACGTCTGTCAGCAGCTTCCAACACCCAACTACCGTAACATTAACCTGCTGTGAGCTGGTAGGAAGCCGGGAGAGGGCAGTGTGAGAGCGATAACACCAAACTGAACACACCTGCTCCCCATTCACACCTGAGACCTTGTAACACTAACGAGTCACTTGACACCGGGAAAGGAAAATGGCTAGTTGGGCCCAATTTGGACATTTTCACTTAGGGGTGTCCTCACTTTTGTTGCCAGCGGTTTAGACATTAATGACTGTGTGATGTGTTATTTTGAGGGGACAGCAAATTTACACTGTTATACAAGCTGCACACGCTTTACATTGTAGCAAAGTGTCATTTCTTCAGTGTTGTCACATGAAAATATATAATCAAATATTTACAAAAATGTGAGATGTGTACTCACTGATGTGAGATACTGTACATATGTCACAAGCACACACACCCGTGCGCAGGTATTTAGACACACACTCGTTTGTAAATCCTCCAGGTGTTACCTAAAAACATAAGCATCTGTATATCTTTTGTATTTAGTTATCCTCTAATCTGAGCAAGCAGTGTGTGTGTGTGTGTGGGTGTGTGGGTGGAGGGCTTAGGTGTGATCTGTACTTTCAAGTGCGATGTCGCAAGTCCAAACAGAGCTGAGCTGAGCACTTGCTGTTGCTATAAGAACGCACGGCTCTCATTCACCTGCAGTGAGGTGGGAGATAAAGCGATGCAGAGAGAAACAGTAATAAAAGCTTCCCTTCCCCCCCTTCAGGCACCGTGCTGATCTTTCTTTACCTCACTGATCCCTCACTCTAAACAAATGACTCACAGTCACCTGTAGCCTCCCAGATTCATCATCCGCTGTGTTGTTCTTGTCATGTTTGTGTCGAGCAAGGTGCTGTTGGGCATGACGACGTCCGGCATGTGAATTTGTCTAAAAATGTTGGCTCCATTGCAGGGTTAATTTTTGTGGTTTTGTTTGTTTTCTTTGCACCTTTTCTGTTTACAAGAATATATGGCATTATTTAAAAAAAAAACACGCCCCAAGGGAAGGGATGGCTTGGCTCCATGTTGCAAAAGATAGTCACGCCCTGAGGCTTTAGCTTTCTAGTAATTTGTCTTCCTCAAGAAAGGCTTTTTTGTGACGCCTTTTCGTTTGGTCATTTTACTTAGTCATGCTTACTGCTGTTTTCTAAGTAAAACCTGCTTGCAAGACGCAGCTTGATCAAAATGCTTTGAGGGAGAAAACCTTAAAATATCAGTGCTCTTGGGGTGAATATTACTACTATCTAAAATCGGTAATATATACAGTATGTGCATGCTTACTGGTACAATAAGCCAACGCGTGGATTTTGAAGAGGTTTTTGGAAACAGGTGACCCAATTGGAGAACCGTCAAAAGTGTCAAATCATCGATTTCAGTTTGGAGATAAGTAGATTTGGGATGTTCGGCACTCTCGGCCATGATTCAACAGGTCCCATACTTTGCTAATAGTTATTATAATTACAGGAAGATCACGTGGAAATTTAATAACAGGCACCCTACCTGTACAGCCAGAGGCTCTGGTGTTTACTTCATATTCATCACAGACGACTGAGGCTTTGGGGAATGTTGAGAGTTGATGTCAGATCTCTGTCAGTGTGCAGCCAGCACATCAAGCACACTGTAATAATCGGCATGCTCTGGATGGGCTGGCAGGTGAAGGCTGTGTTGACACTAGCAACATGTGTGAGTCGGGTCTGAGTTGGACGAAATCTGACTGATGATCCTTTAAGTCTTTATTCATTTTTCTTTTGCTTCTATAAGGTGTTTGCTAGACTTCTGTGGTCCATAGAAAATAACAATAATAAAAATACAGAAAATTTGAGTGATAAAGTGAGTAAATTTTAAATTCTTGCTTTGATCCTCAAAGTTCCTCAACATAAAAACACGGGAGTTTCCTGTTTAATGCAACAATGCTATATGTTAGAGCTGCATTGATTAACCGATCAGTTACCAACTATTAAATTATCTGCCAGTCTTTTTGATAATCGATTGATCTGTTTGAGTATTTTTTCTAAGATAAAAAAGTTAAAACTGTCCATCCAAGCTGAAGAAGTGCTCCAGTTGTGGGTCACTTAGCATCGTCTTTGCAGAAAATGAACAGGACTTTTACGTCCCACTGAGGAACTTTATATAAACAACAATTTTTTAAAAATCCCACAGTGTAACTGAAACAGAAAGACAGGACAGAGCAAACATTAGTAGAATGATTTTGCCCATAAAAGACCCAAACAATAACTAAAACAATAAAACAATATCTGTCCTTATTGATTTTCTCTATTGTCCTTCTCATTATTTTTCCCCCACTCCTTACATCTTTGCCTTCCTTTTATATCTTTAGTCCCTCCTTCGTCTTCCACGCTGCTCTTTCTCCTCCCCACACCAACCAATTCAGGTCAGGTTAGGCTAAAGTCTGTGAATCACCTACCCTGACGTTATCCAACTGCTATCCTCAGGCGCCCGTGAACGGAGACACACCTCCAGCTGAGGGCCTATCAGAGAACGACAGTGGCGTGGAGCTGACCAATGAGAACAGCCCTCTGACCGCGGCCGAACCGCCCTCCCCCTTCAGCCCCAAGCAGAATGGAGACGCTGCCTCACCTCAAGGTAAGGCACACACATCAGCAAACAAAAAAACAGAATAACATAAATAAACTAACTGGCTGAGACAGCAGCTCCCATGTTCTGCAAGGTAAAATTATGTTTTTTGTCTGGTGGCTTTGACCAGAGTCATATAGCGACTGGTCAAAAAAAACAGGTCTGTCTCTTTAGGGATCCTTTCCATAATGTTGTCAGACACTTATAATAACAATCTGAACCTGTCAGAAGCAGATGCAAGCACTTTTGTGTACTTTGACAGGGTGCAGTTGCCTCCACGGAGGAAGTGGCTTGTGACTGACGCAAAACCAACACCAATTTAAAAAAAAATGTTGTCCCAATTAGTCAATTAGACACAAAAAAATGGGAAAATAGGGTCCAGGTTGGAAAATACTGAACTTAGCGTTCAAGCCAAACACGTTTAAGGCTGATTAAGTTAAAAAAGAAGTGACTGTCCTGCTACATTCTTTCTGCTCTTTATCTCTTGAAAATATTGAGTTTCTCTTCTGCCATCTGTCTAACCTTCTGTTGATCTCCCGCTCTCCGTGTCTTCCCAGATGGTAACCAGTGTTCGGGAAGAAGCAGGAAGCGAGGCAGGAAGAAGTCAGTGGAAGAGGAAAGTACCTGGGACTCCTGCAGCGAGGTATGCACACACACAAAAACACTTTCATAGAAGTGTGTTAATAAAACTTGACATTCGATCCACTGTGTGTGTTTCCAGGACAAGTCTTCCGGAGCGTCTCAGTTGGGTTTGAGACAGACACCTCGACCCAGAACCATCTTCCAGGCCGGTCTGACGCCGCACACACACAGCAAACCTCGCAGACAGAACCGCAAACAGGAGCACAGCGTGTTACTGGTAAAAACACACACAGTCGTGTTTCCATCACTTCAGAGCACATTACATTGACTTACATTAGTTTCATGGAGACTTATCTCAACCATTACCTTAACTTTGAACCACCTGAAATTTAATGATTTACATTATGGGGATGTTTTGTCCCCAAAAGGAAGGCGAGTCCCCACAATGTGACTGTGAACAGATTAATATCACCACAACGGGTGAAATGCAAGGTTCAGTGCTTACAGACACGCACCAGTTTTTATTTACCCCACGCAGAGCTATTGATTCTTCAGAAATGTGTAATGATTAAAAACATTAAACCATGTGATGTTTTCCATTTGGCTGCTCAAATGTTGCTGTGTGCTCTTTAAAATACATTTCAATCTACCTATATATGGATCTCTTTCCTCAGACCTAATTCTGATTTATTAAATGTCAAAACAGTCTAAATCAGGTGCTACTTGTCAGCACGTGCCAGGGTGAACACAAGTATAACTACACGTTCTTTTGACCCTCTAAACTTGCTGTAGTTTTTTGTGCACAATTGAGCAATGCGGTGAAAAAGTATAACAGGCAGTTCAGTCTGTTCATCTTTGTTTATTACTTATCCATTTGCTCGTGTGAAGCAAGCAATGACGTTCAAAACTGTAAAAAATATGGTCGTATCCAGGTTGTAAAAACAAATAAAATGTCCTTTGAACTTTTGAAGATTTAACTTGTTGAATACTTCAGAGATTAAGAAGGATCTGTGTACTCTGATTTCTGAGGTGGCCTTCTTTCTTTCTCTTACTTTTTTGGTTATGTTTCCATCTAGATGTCGTGACAGTCATAATATCACACTCAAACAAGTGTAAATATTCTGAAAAGGCCACAACAACGCATAAACAAGAGTGCAAGTAGCTGTAAAGCTGGTGCATTATACTATTCCCTCACTGTTTGGCACTTAAGATGGGGGGTTTCATACTTTCATGATCTGTGCTTGCTTTATTTACTCAAACTGTGGTGGTTTTGTCTGCCATTATACCTATTTTTCGGGATGCTGTGCTATGTCTACACTGCAGAAAAATCATTACTCTTCACTTCATCAATTCACCAACTTTTCCACCTCATCATAAAAGCTTAAGAACTTGTGATATTTAGCCGATTATTGAACATTTTTCTGCAATTTCCATTCAGTTTTTTGACTGTCTGGGAAACATTTTCTCACTCTCTTTCTATATATATGTATTTTTTATATATTATATATATCCATAAACTGACTTGAATCCCTGCAAACTGCCTCTGAAGATGCCACAACGACAGAAAAATCTAATGGCTGTCTGTAATTTTGACAGATATATATAAGGGCCAATAAATAAGGGCGACCCACCGTGAAATTTAAGTAACTCACATACAACACTGTCAATAACCACATGTAGACCACTTGTAGTAGACCCCCTGTTCAGTTGTTGGCAATGTGCATATTAATTAGCTGTTGTAGTCTTTGATAGATAGATAGATAGATAGATAGATAGATGGATGTAGCTGTATCCCTACATAAGAAGCTATCACAAAATGTGCCGGCATAATTGTGGTGTGGTTGATAAACGAGGTGAAACAAAATTTATTGAAGTGTTGGAGGGTGAAGGACAAGCAAGTAATACGTATAACGTTTATCAGCCAGCTGCAGTAATGTTACGAGGGGGGAGCAAGGGCCAACAAGGAGGTAAATGTCAGTTTGTGTGTTGACAGGAAAAGTGTCTCTGTTCATCTTTTCTCTCCACGCTCTTATAAATGCACCGTCTGTAAATTCTGTGTATTAAATGTTAGCGTTTCTGAAAATTAAATGCTGTTAAATGAGCGGCATCTGCGTCTTTCGACACCACAAAGGCACCCATCAGAGTTTTGTCGAGAGCTTTGCCGGAGGCCACTGCCGTGTAATTCTCTGCATGCAGGAAACCTCCTTTCTCATTATTATTATTGAAGAATGTAAATTAAAATGACTGGAAATAATAGATCATGGTGGAATTTTCTTCAGGGAAAGTCAAACGCAGCCTCTGCATGTTAGACTGTGTTACTGTGGATCTGCGTGTTTTCATAGTAAGTGAAGAGTGCTTCTGAGCGTTGGTATGACAGGCGGATAATGACAGCTGAGTGAAGAGAAATGCAGCATAATTATCGGTGTTGAGTTCTGTAAAGGACTCTCGTCTTGCAGCATTATCATGCAGCTTCCCCTGACCTCAGTTCATTTATAAATAAATAATGTTTTATTGCTGTTAACTCTTGACTAAAATGTGCCATGAATGTCTTTCTCTCACAGTAATATTCCCTTGGATCTAATAAACCTCTCTCTGCTTATCTCTCTCTCTCTATCAGTGTGGCGGTGGTCCTCGGGCGGCTGTGGTTGCGTCCGGCGGGGTCCCCGAGGTCCCCCGTTTGGAGCTAATGGAACAAGACTCCAAGGACTCGGCCCAGAGCACCAGCACCTCTTCCAGCTCTGAAATCCAGCCAGAGTACAATGTAAGACGTCTGAGTGAGAGTGTGTGAATGAGTACATGGAGGATAAAGGCTGGAGGGGAGATAACAGGACTAGAAACTGGATGACTTCATGACTTTTTGTGTCATGGTCTCTCTGATCTTAGGAAGTACATCTTAAGCGTCACTGCGCTATTATTTGGCTTTAATCACAGGTGGCCACAGGAGCAGAACTGAAAGCACAAATGCTCCAGATGTTTCTCAACATGTGTTTAAATCACTCCTAATGAATACTGTATTTTTCAATCACAGTCCCTCAAAAGGATAAGGCGAGGAGTCAAATAAGGCTTGTTTGGCTTTTGTTCTTAGAGGAATTCGAAAAATAACTTTTTATTTTTATCCAGTTATGTCAACCCAGACATGCAGACTTACAGAATATTCTGGTTTCATGTGTAGAAATTTGGTTTTGGCCATGGGAGAAAGAATTATTTTTTATTTATTTTGCTAAGAACTCCTAAACCTAAATAAGCTAAAAGTACATTTCCTGCATTCCTTGGTTCAAAGAAAGTCTATCAGTACAGCTTCCGTCCTTTTCTACATTAGCACCAAACATGGCACTTAACAGATTTAAGCCATAACTTCATCATAGAGTTGTTTGCCAAATTATTTATTGATTATATGACTGTGAATATGCATTTTGCAGCCGCAACCAAATTTAAGTCAGTTCAAGGTGCATTACAGAGAAGTTGAAAACAACACCGTTCAGAGTTAAAACAACACAAAAAAACAGAATGAAAGAGATAAATCTATGTAGAAATAAGATAGTATAAGAATATAAATAAATAAATGAATGAAAGATAATAGTAATACAATGATAAGAATGCATTGGGTTTTAGAAACATTTAGGTAAAAGCGCATCTGAAGTCTAGAAAACTTTACTCCTTGGGCCATTTCTTACACCATCAGTTGGTTGGTTTGACCAAAGCACTCCTGAGTCAAAACGAGATGTTTAGAAGGCAGAGGATTAGGGATGAGCGAAGGGAAAGAAACAGAGAGATAGAGAGCCAGACAGCTGTGTCAGAGCAGGAGAGAGAAGATTTTAGAAAGAGGAAGTGGAGGATTGGCAGTGGTAGAAAGACGAGGAGGGTAACTCCCTTCACAGACCACAGAACCTCCTCCACCTGGCCTTGTGTTAGTGCAGGTGGCCACAAACACTCGCACACACAAAGTCTGGCTGTGTTTGCTCTGTTTCAATAGTTTCATTCAGGTCATGATGACCACAAGTCTGCACAGCAGTGTATGTGTGTATTTGGAGACACACTCTGTGCATACCCATTCAGATCTGCATGCATGCATGTCGTCTGCATGTCTCACGTCTGTGTGTGCACAGTCTGACATGGGTATGTTGATGCGTCTTGTGTGTGTTTTTGTATGTTTTCACTCAAGCCTGGCTCGAACTCAGTGAAGCGCTGCATCCTCTAATGGAGTCAGACTCCATTACAAAGCCTAATGGATTTTCTCTCCTAAGGCGGACTGAAGGATCTCATGGCCTGGGCTCAACTGGGATTTGTTTGCAAGCGTAGAAATCCCACCTGCTCATAAACCAGCACACGTAACTTTCAAAAGAAATGTGGTTTTATCAGGGATGTTTTCTTTAGGGGTTCTGCCCAAGAAAAGACTGAGGTGAAGCAGAAATAAAGGAAACAAATGAGGCAATCAACATATTTTCAGACAGGTGTGGAGTGATACCAAGGTGAGCAGTGACTCGTCCCGATGATGCAGGATTTCTTCCACGTCTTCATCCAAGACATGAACGCTTTTTGGCACTAGAAAATGAATATGTCCAGACTATTGTTTGCATTTTTCTTCTCTTCTTCTCTTTCTTTTATTTTCTGTTTCTGTACTATATAGCTGGAGTAGGGGGTTTTCAGCTTTTGCCTAATACAGATATTCTTACAGATTAATCTATCTCTCTTTCACTCATATTTCCTCCTCTTTTCGTCAAGATAGCAAGACTAGATACTTCTGCCAAAGCGTCCTGTTTTCTCTCCTCTGTTCGCAGCACCTGCAGTATCAGGAAAAAGAAAAATGTCAAATCAGTAACTTGACTCTTGAATTGATCTGCTTTTCTGCCCTCAATCCCACTTATCCTCACCTCAGATATTTAGTTTTTCTCCGTCTTAAAGACCAAATGTCTCTGCATTTGGACATCATGTCCTTTTGCACAATAACATTGTTGTACTTTAGAGACAATAAGACATTTTTTGCAAGACCGTGACCTTATCTTCACTCTCTCTCCCTCTCCTCTGCCATCTGGATTCTCCCTCAACCATTCAGGACAACAAGGGTTTTGGCATCGGCGAGCTGGTGTGGGGGAAGATCAAGGGATTTTCCTGGTGGCCCGGCATCGTGGTGACTTGGCGCGCCACCGGCAAACGGCAGGCCAGCCATGGCATGAGGTGGCTGCAGTGGTTTGGAGACGGCAAGTTCTCTGAGGTGAGGAAGGACGAAGAAACAAGAGAGGCTGAAAGGAGGAACGGAGGAATGGGAAATCAAATAATGGTTGTGGATCTCGCACTTTGTTTGATGCCACGTTTTCTTTTTTCCTCCCCAGGTTTCAGCAGACAAACTGGACTCCATCACTGCCTTCCCCAAGTTCTTCAGCCAGGCTTCCTACACCAAGCTGGCCTCCTACCGCAGGGCCATCTTCCAGGCGCTGGAGGTACGTGTCAAGGTGTATTAGCTGCAACTTTATAAAAATTAACCAATAAAGAAGTTTTCTCCGGGAGGTAATGGAAGGTGAAACTACTTCCTCCTTTGTTTGTACTTCCTTCTCCTTTCTCTTCTTCTCTTTCTTCACCTTCCTTATTATCCTTCTTCTTCCTCCTCCTCCTCTTCCTTCTTCCTCCTCTTCCTACTTCCTCTTTTCCTCCTCTTCTTTCTCCTTCTTTCTTCCCCCTTTCTCTTCATTTCTTTCTTCCCCTTCCTTATTATCCTTCTTCCTCCGACTTCTTATTCCTCCTCCTCCTCCTTCCTTCTTCCTCCTTCTCATTTTCTATCTTCCTCCTCTTCTTTCACCTTCTTTGTCTTCCTCCTTCTCCTTTTTTCCTCCTCCTCTTCCTTCTTCCTCCTCTTCCTACTTCCTCTTTTCCTCCTCTTCTTTCTCCTTCTTCTTTCTTCCCCCTTTCTCTTCGTTTCTTTCTTCCCCTTCCTTATTATCCTTCTTCCTCCTACTTCTTATTCCTCCTCCTCCTCCTTCCTTCTTCCTCCTTCTCATTGTCTTTCTTCCTCCTCTTCTTTCACCTTCTTTGTCTTCCTCCACTTCTTCCTTCTATTTCCTTCTTCCTCCTCTTCCTACTTCCTCTTCTTTCTCCTTCTTCTTCCTTCCCCCTTTTTCTTCTTCTTCTTCTTCTTCTTCAGTGCAGTTGTCTCTTAATTACATTGACTATTTGCAGGAGTCTGCAGCTGCTAAATTTTGACAGTTATTAATAGGAATATTTCAGAAGGTTTCCAGGAGACAAAGCTATAGCAGAAAGAAAACCTTTTAGCTTTAACGCTAATGTCCTAAATCCACCTGATGTTCGCCAGGTTTGAGAATAAGTAGCTAAACATTCTGACGTGGTAAAACTTTGAAACACTGAGAGACGTTTTCTTCAGTTGATGAGTATTTCTGCAGGGCAGATACGCAGCCATGGCTAACATAAGCTAATTTGAACTAGTATGACCGTTATGACTGTTATTATAACTATATTAGTGCTTGTTTGCATTATGATAAGGTAAAGGCCATAACACCAGGATTTAAAGCGGCGGCACAGAGATGCGAGTGTGAAAATCTGCTGTTCTGTGTGTGTTTAGGGAGGTGCCGTTGGCTATTTGTGTGTCAGATCTGCTGTAAAAACATGCTTTATGGTTTCCCTGCCAAGAACACACTGGTTCACTGGAAGTGAATTTATGCATGTTCACAACACCGTGTGTGTGTGTGTCGGTATTTCATGTTTTTATATCCCGGCGGGGACTTGAATGCACCCTAACTGATGGGGACCCGTGTAACGGCTAGAGATGCTTTTACGCTTTTACAATTAGGTTGTGGTTGGTAGTGGGGTAAGGGTTAAGGTTAGGTGTGTGTGTGTGTGTGTGTGTGTGTGTGTGTGTGTGCCAGTAGCCAAGTAATACAAGCACAGATGTGTATGTCTGAAAGGGATTCCTCCACGCTATCTATTTGATTAATTCTATCAATACAATAAAAGAGAAGAGCGAACAAGCGCCAGCCAGGATGAAAAAATGTCGTCAGATCATAAAGCAGACAGACAACAAGAGAGACGTGGTGGGACAGGCAGAAAACACAGCAGAAAATATGTGATTGCACAACAGATTCGAAGAGAGAAGAGTATTCCATTAATTCTGGCGTCACATGTCGGGCAAATAGACAAATGATACCTCTGAAGTCTTTCAGTAAATTAGTGATAAAACTTTTAAGGGTAAACCTATTTAAAAGAGGCAAGAAAGGTGAATTATCTCGGTATAAAAGGTTAAAACTTCACCCTCTGAAAAGATGCAAAGAAATGCCGTTTAACACTGTAAAGACCCATTCAAATAGGTAATAATACCAAACCTGAATGTCTGTACTGATGTATATCAATTTTAAATTTAAGAAAATAAGTCTTATATGTCTTATAAGCATCTGTGTTCAGTGTTAATGTTGTCTGAGTAGACAGTCAGACGAGAACTTAATAAAAAAAAGAAAGATACAGTATTAAATTAACAACATCACCAGGACTTCAGCTTTAACTTTGTCATTAAACACAAGCTAAACTGACAACAATCAACAAAAGGAATGTGAAAAAACATATAAATATTGAAAATGCGTAACATTATCTAAATCAAGTCTTTTAAAAACGGGAAAAATTTAATCAAAGGACAAGTGAACCAGACTAATAACCTATTCTCGTTTTTGATATTTGTAGTTAATCATTAAGAACATACTGAAGTTCTGAGTATGTTAGACTTCGAACCTCTTTTAGATAAGATGTTCCTCACTTAGTGGGGAAAAAACCCAAGAAGTGCTCCACTTCTCACCAAAATCACCACCTTTTTTTTATTTATTTTTTTAGAAATTACTGGCACCTAATGGTGAAGTGTTGTATTAGGTGTTTTAGTTTAGAACATTCATATCTGACCTTTGACATATAATAATACTATATATTATTTAGTGCTGGGCAAGAATTACAATTTTTAATCGCGATTAATCGCGTGATTTTCTTGTAGCGGTCGTCTTATTTGCATGTGTTCACTCCCAGGTAACGTTAAAGCAGCATTGAACACACAGGGTGCAGATGTTGGTTTGGGTTGTTGGAGTTGTTTGATAGGCTGCGTCATTAACAAGCAAGCGGGTGAAAAAATACGGAAAAGAGATGACAGCGTAGTCTGCTGAAGCCTCCCACCGCTGCTTGTTTGGGTGGGTGATTTGCACGCTGATCAAAATAATAATAATTTTTTTTAAAACTGCGTTAACGTGCGATAAAATAATTGATAATAACGCATTAACGTGCTCTGGGAAAAAAGCAAGTAAGAGATATTGATTAAAAATGTTGTAATAACTTGCTTTCTGTCTGAAAATACCCTGAGTAGTTTCAGTCACTTCCTTTCTTTCTTTCTTTCGTCTCTACCTTTGACACCTCTCCCTCTCATCTGTATTTGTTTTTCAGTGGTTTGTGTTTTGTTGAGACAACTGGCTCTGTATGTTTGTCTTCTTAAAGACGTCTAGCTGACAGGTGTGAGACAGGCCTTATGCTGCTGTTATCTCCGTCTCTCTCGCCTCTTGTCATTCATCCACATTGTGTCATCCCTCAGAGTGAGTGTGGTGCCTCGTTCCTCAACTGTCCCTCACATGTCTTTTTAAGATAACAATCTGTCTTCGCCTTTTCACATTCTCCCCGCCACCCTTTTCTTTGTCTTCTCCTGTCTGGCAATCTCTTGTCCTCGTACTGACAGGATTAGAAAACCAGACAGAAGTCTAAACATTCAAAACTGGAAAAACTGAACAATTTATCTTGCGTCACAACTGCTTGTCTCTCTCTCTCTCTCTCTCTCTCTCACAGATGTCCAGTATCCGGGCGGGGAAGACGTTTTCTCCCTGCGAGTCGGACAGTCCCGAAGACCAGATCAAACCCATGCTGGACTGGGCTAACGGCGGTTTCCTGCCCAAAGGAGAGGAGGGACTCAAACCCACGCACACTGCCGGTGAGCAAGACATCAGAACCAGGCTGTCGTATACAGTTCATCACAAGCTGCAAATGTAGTGCCTCCAAATTTGCCATTTTGCTGAGAAATAAGAGTCTGTTTTTGTTCCCCTCCTGCAGAAAGTAACCCCCTGGACCACCAGGTCCTCGATGTTTCCCTGCCAGAGTATTTCCCCAGCGCCAAGCGAGCCAGAGTCAGCCTCTGTAAGAGCAAGGCCGCCCCCGAGGAGTCCTACAGCAGAGGTAGAGAGAAAAGTCAAGCTCACTGTACAATGGATATATATTTAGCTAAAATTTGCTAAATGCCGAAATTTGCTTAGTTTGTTTTGTACAATTTCTGTTATTTTCATTTTTTGTGTGTTATATTTCATGCTACCAATGAAGATAATCAAATAATTACATTATTTTACCTTTAATAACAGAGTTTACATTCTGATTTTGTGGATAAGATTTGATTGCTCTCGATATGAGTTGGTGCCAAGTTTACACTAGCAGAGATAACATCATACCTATAATTTTAAAGTCTTGAAAATGCTGCTGTTAGCAGGGATATGCAGGTTTTAGTTTCCCTGCTTTATGTCTGTTAAAGGTTTTAGTGTCTTATGGGTTTTTTTGCATTAGTTTTGTGTGTGTGCAGCGCACTTGAGCTCATAAAAATGTGTTTCGTGCTTTCTAACATTGTCCTTCCTTTTCTCTCAGAGCAAATGGTGAATGAAGTTCTGAAGAATAAAAGAAGTATAGAAGGTAAATACCCACCTTCACTTTTGTTTCCGCGTGTTTGTGAATTAATTTATCAATTGCCAACAGTGTCAGTTTCATTTTTTTCGACTGATGATTGATCTGTGTGTGTTCTGGCAGAGTTCTGTCTCTCTTGTGGAAAGATGAGAGCAGCAACCTTCCACCCGCTGTTTGAAGGAGGCCTGTGCCAAACATGCAAGGTAGAGCATGCAGTGAAAACGCTTTTCGATGATTGTTTTCCATAATCAGCCGCCTGTCTCGGTGTCAGAGTGATGAAACCTTTCTTAAACTAAGGGAACACCCAGAAATAGTAATAATATAGATTTCCAATGACTGATATCCAATATCTTCTAGCTAAAGTCTAAACCACCACACACACTTGTACAATAGCAGTTGATAATATTCTTGGCTTGAAGCCACTATTTGACGACAGCCACAAAACCCGTTATGTCTAGCTCATAAACCTGTCTGCTCACATCTTCAGCAGTTTGAGCCGTCTGGGAATGAAGAGTGGGAGGAATGATGACGTTTTTTTCATAGAGCATAACACGGAAAAATAAAATAAAATATCAGACTAGTCCACACAAGTTCATACATAATTTTTTAACACTTTATGTTTAGGTTTACATCCTCTCACACTTAGGAAAACAAAAAAAGAACCGCCCAAAATTATCCCCTTCCCAGATTTAACTCTTGAATGGAATTTGTTGCAGGACTTTTGTATTAGACTGCATTATTTTAAGCTAAGTGCGCCTGATAAACTGACAACTGAGTGTGTGTTTGAAGAAGATTATGTGTCGTTGTGTTAGAGGGTTTCACTAAAGCCAGATGTGTGACGACGTGTCAATAAATATTTTTTCAGGACGTGTACCTGGAGATGTCCTACATGTACGATGACGACGGTTACCAGTCCTACTGCACCGTTTGCTGTGGAGGTCGAGAGGTTCTGCTGTGCGGCAACGCCAACTGCTGCAGGTCTGTCACACACACATTCACACAAAGAAACAGTTTGCACAATACAGGAATTCCTTCCTTCTCCACCGATGTGTTCATCTGTCCGTTTACCGCCTCTCCTCTCTTCCTTACTCCTTCCAGGTGTTTCTGCGTGGACTGTCTGGACATCCTGGTCGATCCAGGAGCGTCTAACAACGCTCGGCATTTGGATCCGTGGCGATGCTACATGTGCCAGCCGCTGTTGCAGTACGGCGTCCTGAAACAACGGCATGACTGGAGCCTCAAGCTGCAGGAGTTCTTTGCTAACGACAACGGACAGGAGTTTGTGAGTTTTTTAAAAAGACTTTTGTATAAGATTTAGCAAACGTGTAAAGATCTGGGATGTTCTATATACTTAAATAAAAGATCAGTACATATATACATGTGTATATGTTAATATCTATATTTATATTCTATGTCAGTGATTCCCTGCCTGGTGCTTGCAGGGAATGACTGGACATTTTTACCTCCTCTGGCCTCTAAAAATTATTAAAATAAAGCGATCTAAAACAGGAAACCACTTTTATGCAACTTATGTGACAAGGGGTTGCAAAAAACGTTGAAAACCACTGCCCTTAATCTTTTCTTCTCTTATGTTGTATCTCTAATCCTTTTTCATCTTTAAGCTACACTTCTGAAATATGGAAAATTTAAATTAAAGTGAAAAATAATAGATTTTCAGTAGAGAATTTGTTGTGCTCATAAGCCAAAAGGGGGAGTTGCCAGGACAAGCTGGGTCAGGTCACATCAGCAGCGAACAGGGGGAAAAACAGAAACACAATAACATAATTCAATCCAGTTCAGCGGCCCTGCAAAAAGTACCAATTTTATGAGACTTTAAGAGTTGAATATTTGTAGAACAATGTGTCAAAGAGGGAATGAGAAACTTGATTCAGAGTGTAGACTGCTGTGATATTCCATTTTTTAAGATTTTTATATTGGATTACATAATCATGTAACATGCCAGCAGAGCAATTAAAACATGTTTTTATGTAACGTAATGATCGTAAAAATGAAAACATTTTTAATTTTTGACAGATTTGGTTCATATTCCTTCAGAAAGAATGAAACTGGAGCTTTAAATGCTGTATGACCAACAACCAACTAAAATGACTAAATAACGATGACATTTTGACACTTCAGTGACCAAAAGCAAACACATACTATAATTTAGCTGCTTTTTACCTTTAAACCACCTTTCACCTAGATAAGAGCCTCCCAGATGCCTAAAATATGATTCATTTTGATTTCCCTGCAACATGTTCTGTTTATCTTAAAGGAGAAACCAAAGATTTACCCAGCAGTCCCTGCAGAGCAGAGACGACCAATCAGAGTCCTCTCCCTGTTTGACGGCATTGCCACCGGTGAGTGTGTTTGTGTGTGTGAATTATAAGAGACAGTGAATTAATATATTTGTACTGATGTCTTGATGTTTTTTATTCATCTGAAACGCAGCAGGTCATCATACAGAACTGTGTTGTGTTTGTGTTTCCAGGCTACCTGGTTCTAAGGGACCTGGGTTTTAAGGTGGACCAGTACGTGGCGTCAGAGGTGTGCGAGGACTCCATCTCAGTGGGTGTGGTCAGACATGAAGGAAAGATCCAGTATGTCCATGATGTCAGGGACATAACAAAGAAAAATGTAAGAAAGAAATTATTTGAATATCTAACTGTTTTATAAAATTACAAAAGTTTGCTTGACTGAAATAAGTGAAACTCAAAATGAAAAATAAAAACTTTATTGCTGTCAAGTGTCAGGAACAACAACCTGTTCAAAATGCTTCAGTGGATCTGCAAATATACCTTCCTATTTATTTTGTCTGCTGTGCATTTTATAGGGAACATTTGGCTTTTGTTGAAGGCAAGTATTGAGTAGTTTGAAAAAAAATATTTTAATATGCACTTTTTGGCAGCATGACACGTAAGAACTGATTATCTGTAAGCTTTTTGAGGGGGGGGGGGGTTTAGTTGCCAATTCACATAAATTTAAGAAGGCGTTATCAGCAGGCTTAGTTAGCGTGGTCTCCTCTGTGCGATTTCAGAGAAACTGCACCTCAATCATCTGCAGCAAGTCTTAAGATTTCACAATTGGTCGTGATGAAAGTGTGTAAACCACTGTGCAACTGTGTGTAAGAGGGGAGTAGTGGTTCCAATGAAAATGTAAGGTTAAGCCTGAAATATAAAGACGGGGGTTAGGAAACGAAAGTAGATCACAAGACTGTGTGATGGCATGAGTGAAGCTTTGAGTGTTTAGCCACTTTGGGGGAAATGTATTTGCGATGGTTCTCATATCTCAACAATACTAACATCTGAGTGATTTAATGCCCTTGAAAGCTGCTCAGATATCTGAGCTGCTATAAATCAAGCGTACATTAAGCAGAAAGAGACTTTTGTTTGTTTCTCTATTTCAGCTCCACATCTCAGTTTCACTTTTTGTGTTAGTTAGACAAACAGCTGTGATGGAAACACTTATAGGTTGAGTTATTATAGATTATATATATTACAGAATACAAAGAAATGTTTCACTATAATATATATATATATAATATATAATGATCTGTCCCATAGACTGTATATAAGAAGTGGACGTAGTCATCGTGACGTCACCCGTTGGTTTGTGGACTGCCGTTTTGAAGCCTCAAGTTTGGACGATAGGGCGTTTTTACAACCAGCGGCATCAGACGTGACCATATTTGGATGAGACGGTGGAGCTAACGGCCGTGTGTGGAGCTAGCTAGCTTGCTTAGCTAGGTGCAGCTGTAATTCACCTTAACTGTCATTTTAACTGGGCTGATAACTTTGTCTAGCAAACAACAGGCTTAAAACTAAATGTATTCACCAGAGAAAGTGAACAGCCGCTTCCTAATAAGCTTTTTCACTGGCGCTGGTAAAATTTACACAGTGCCGTGGGTACCAGCCCTGAAGCATACTCGCACCAAACCTCCTTACTGCAGGTGTTGCATTTTGCTGTCTTTCTCTTTTTAGTGAAGCTAAGCCAAACTTTGGAGCATTTGCTGCGGGCTGCTATTGTCCATGACTGGAAACAGAAGTACGCTCTTCTTTAAGTCTTGTTGACGTACTGCGTAAGAAAATGACGTGACGTTAGGTCGGCGTAGCAGCTCCTGGCAGATAAGAGACACTTGTGTGGACTGTAAAATGCTCCCTACATGTCAATCAGGAGCTGAAATATGCAGAAATCGAAAAATGCATGTGTCTTATCAAAAAGAAAATCCACAGTTCTTGGAAATTTGGTAACGGTTGCAACTTGGAAGCGGTCCTCCATACTCAACCCTACAAACATGAGAGTGGTATCAGTCTGCCTCTCAGAAAGAAAGCAAATAAGTGTATCATGACATTATAACACACAGCAAACAGAGGCTGGCCGCTGCAGTGACGTGGTTCACGACAGAGGACAAAGAGCAACTCCAACCTCTGTAAATCCCCTCAGGAAGCCTTTCATTTGTTAGTCATGCTGTGTGTGAGTGTCTGTGTGAGTGTGTGTGGGTTCACGGCGCTGTTATGTAAGAGATTAAGAGCACCTCCACCTCCACCTCCACCTCCTGTTCTTTTTCTCTCTGTTCCTTAATTCCTAGTTCTTTCTTTCTCTTCATCTCTTTCCCTCATTGTCCTCTGTAAAAGGACGGGGAAGGATGTGAATGGGTGAAAGAGAACAAAAGGAGCGAGCAGATGGTGGGTTAAAATAGTAACCTCATGCCTGTTGCTGGTTAAATGAATAAATTACATTTAGAGGTGAGTCAATTAATGGAAAAGTCAATCAACAAAAACAACTGTTTTGTTTATTGAATAATCATTTCAGTCATTTTTTTTAAAAGTTAAAATGCCCCAGAGTCAGTGGTTTGAGCTTCTTAAATATGAATATTTGCTGGTTGTCTTTGTTTTTTATGATGTTTAACTGAATATATAATATTTGTGTTTTGCTCTATTGTTCAGACAAAACAACCAATCAGAAAATGTCAACTTGGGCTTTGCAAAGTTGCAATCGACATTTTGGACACTTTATGGAGTCTATCAGTCTTGAAAATAATCAACATATTAATGAAAACGATTGCTAGTTTCAGCCCTAATGATGTTTTTTACTTTACATCTACACTGAAGTAGAATTTAGGGAATAATTTTCCATCCTCATCATTGAATCAGCCGGATTATTGGATGATTCTTGGTCCTAAAATCTCACTGTTTTCTAAGTAAAGATGTTGAAGATTCATGACAACTAGGAAATCTGTCACTCAGTGAGTTGCACGTTTGTTGTGTTGTTCATGCAGTAGCTGTCACTCCCTCAGTCTAACACTTGGTGGTGCTGTTGTCTCTCTCAGCTTCTGGAGTGGGGTCCCTTTGACCTGGTGATTGGAGGAAGTCCCTGCAACGACCTGTCAATTGTTAATCCAGCGAGGAAAGGCCTGTATGGTAAATATCTGCCAGAGGAAATAATTTCATTAACTGTGTTTTTAACTATTATTGTCATTTTTAATCAGGTGTGAGCAGGGAATGGATGTGGTGCATTAAAGTCTACTGAAACCTATAGTCATTTTGATTTCATTAATATGAATTTAGGTGAATACTTTTAGTTTCCCACAATCATGTGCTGTTTCTGATGCTTTACTTTTCTGTGGATACAATTCAAAGAAAAATACATTGATTTTGAGACTGAACTTAAGCAGGCTGATGATTTTTTTTTGGACTCTGATGGTGTTTTGATGCTCCAGAAGGCACAGGGAGGTTGTTCTTTGAGTTTTACCGTCTGCTGAGCGAGGCCAAGCCCAAAGAAGGAGAGGACCGGCCGTTCTTCTGGATGTTCGAGAACGTGGTGGCCATGGGCGTCAATGACAAAAGGGACATCTCACGCTTCCTGGAGGTGAGTTAGACCTTGTAGGCTGTTCATTTACAGCTGTTAAGCTCACTATAAACAGCTGCAGCTATCAAAAACATTAACAAGGACATCTGTGAATGAAAGATATTGCTTACAAAGGATGTAGTTCAAGACATCAAAGTAAAGGCTAATTTTAAACTTAAGCCCTACAACCATTTAAACGCTTAAACAGCTAATTGTTCGTTGTACACATATATTTCTGCTTAGGCATAGTGATTTCCCCTTTAATCCACTAGTAGTCATTTAGTTTCCTGTGAGAAACAACAATAAAGAATGATTAAAAAACAGTAAAAGCGCCTGAGAATCATTTTAAGCACTGTGTAAATAGGATTACCTCGAGTTTATGAGTAATCACTGTGTGTCTCTGTGTGTTTTTCTGCAGTGTAACCCTGTTATGATTGATGCTATCGAGGTTTCTGCTGCTCACCGTGCCCGATACTTCTGGGGAAACCTGCCAGGCATGAACAGGTAGGGGAAAAAAACGCTCAACTCAGAAAGTCCTAATTCTTTTCTCAAAGAAAAAACATGTAAACACTGAAGATTGGTGGATTTATGAGACTTTTCCATGGTTGTGCACATGTTCAAACAGCAGTGTCTAAGGCTAAAATAGTTGTATTTATAGCCCAGTCTCTCTTCAAGTTATTTGTGCTGTGCGTCACGTAGAAAAAGTTCAAGACAATTCAGCTACGGCAGCTCACTCTGAAAAGGGACACTTGCTACTGAACATTATGCTGCTGATCTGGGTGGTGATGGTGCAGTGGATAAGTGAGAGAGACCCGGGTTCAATTCCCCACTGCGACACATCTACCATTGTGTCCCCGAGCAAGACACCAGGACACTTAACCCTTAGTTGTGCGACCTCTGACATAATTAACAATTGTAAGTTGCTTTGGATAAAAGCATCAGCTAAGTGAGGAAATGAAATTAATGCTCCCTGACAAAAGAAGAAAATCATGCGATTAATCGCACTTAAATTTTTAAATCGTTGCCCAGCACTACTATATACAGTATATAAACATTATCAATCCTCTCTGTTTCAGGCCTCTGTGTGCCTCGGGTATGGACAAGCTGGAGCTGCAGGACTGTCTGGACCACGGCAGAGTTGCAAAGGTTTGATATCTACAGAACACGGAATAAAGTCAATGATGAGGATCTGTTGTTCTGCTGTTTTTTACTGGTCAGTTCTGTTTGACCGTGTATTTGTTGTTTCATAGTTTGGAAAGGTGCGCACCATCACTACCCGCTCCAATTCCATCAAACAAGGGAAGGATCAACACTTCCCTGTCCTGATGAACGGGAAGGAGGACATACTGTGGTGCACTGAGCTGGAGAGGTGAGCAGAAAACACACACGCTGTTAAATGCAAACATTAAAACTTTTAAAATTAAATAAATGAGTCACGGACATGGGATGTGATTTAAATTTTGGCTGTGTATTCCTGACCCTGCAGGATCTTTGGTTTCCCTGTCCACTACACGGACGTGTCCAACATGGGTCGCGGTGCCAGACAGAGGCTCCTGGGCCGATCCTGGAGCGTCCCCGTCATCAGGCATCTGTTCGCACCACTGAAAGACTACTTTGCCTGTGAATAGACATCACCCTATCACCAGCGAACAACAATCCCTGTAGCTGGGAAAAGTGAAAGTAGCTGTTAGATGTCCAGTCCTGTCTGGATCCTGGCGATAATACACTGCAGCCTTAAAGACACATAACACACACTAACAAAGAGATACACGTACAGCATAGGTGAGCACCTTCGGCTGTGGTTTATCACTACCCCACAGTGTCAGAAAGAGAGGGAGGGTCAAAGGTCAGGTGTGCGATTCATGACCCTTCTGCCTTTTTTTTACGTTAACATTAAGCCTGTACAACGGTTTTAATAGGAGTTTTCTTCTTTTTAAATGGCCATCGGAAGGCATTGTTTTTAAGTTGACAACACTTAGTAGTTGTAGAAAATAGAGAACAACATGGCACCGTCGGTACAACTTTTCAAGTGGCTCTGTATCAAACTTTTTTTTTTTTAGGAAGTGTTAAACATTTCAGAGGTCGCTCATCTCACCTCCGTCTAGCTGACGATTAAACAAGCAAGCTGCTCATACAGGCTGTTAACCTAAAGAAAAACACTTGAAAAGCTCACTTGAACCAAAGTCAGAAGATGGACGGTTGAAGTCCTGCTCAGTGTTTGGGTACCTGCTGTTCCACTAACCTCGGCCTGAATGGATTTTCTCCCAAAAAAAAAAGGGGTTGTTCTTCGGCCTGTCTAGAAAAGCTGAAACATGATACTGGAGTTTATGTCTCAATTTTAAGATAATAAACATGTATAATTGTGCTTGGTGATAAAAGATGAGCATCTGTTCATTTTAACCAAGATAAACACTGATTATTTTGTTAGCATTCAACAACAACTACATATCCCATAATGCTAAGCTGCGGTGAAAGCTTTGTGGAAGCTGTAGCTGTTCAATGCTTACAAAAAAAGAATCAGTCTTTAGTTTGCTCATTTAGATTCAAATCTGGAAATAAAACCTTAACATGTTTGAGTTTTTCAAAAGACCACTGAAAGACGTCCTCTGTAAGAAAGTACATCCAGCCGTGGAAGCTAGTGGACCAAAAGCTAACCTGGAAATGAAGCAGGAGTTTGGTTTTATATCTAGATGGGTTCACATTCACAGTTTTTTGTTGTTTGTTGTAAGAAAAACAGTAATTTTACCTTTTGTCTTTTGCTTTGGGATGAGTTCATATGAAAAAAAAAATTGCTTCCTTTTAAAAAAAATAGAAAAGCATCTTTTACTGAAGATTATATAAAAATGTTTTTGTATAGATAGTGTGAAACTTTGAGTTATACTGTTATGTCACAGCGACGTCTCCCTGATAGCTACGTACAAATACTTGAAACAAGCCAATGCAAAAACAGAGATATAGAGAATGGGTTTTTTGGCTTTTGCCAACCTTTCCAGACAGCAAAGATTTAACAAGTGATGGCGTTTATCCTACTGTAGATGTTTAGATTTTATCTTTAAGAAATAAAATTGTTTTAGTTTACTGTAACAGCTGGTGATCCAGGTTAAAAGAAGTTCGTTTGAACCCAGGAAAGAGTGAGTGTCACTGTGTATAAATGTGGGTTTTACAACAAAACAAATGGTGGTAAACACTGGTGAACACGCAATCTCTTTTTGCAAACTAGCACTGACTACTTTTTGTTTAAGGGAGTTTTTTTAGTTTCCAAAACATCTAACATGGAGACTGTGATGAAAAATCATCTCTACGATGCTGGTTGATACGGTGCTTTGTTCCGCATGGTACAAATGCTTTGGGAAACAGTGTGTATAAATACACTAATTCTAAGTATTTGTGAGTATCCTCAAAGTGAGAACACAAAGAGTCTGAATGCACACATTTATTGCCAGAATTGTTTTCCTCACACACCAAGCTTTTGCAATAATGATTATTTTTAATACTCCTTAAGAAAGATAAAGATTGTTTATAGTCCACAGGTCTTTACCATTTCTGAATTATTATCTGACTGGATAGCAGGGGGTTTTTTTTGCCTGCAATTACATGTCAGACTGTATGCTTAAGCATTAGCATGTTCACCAGACAAGTATTTACTGGACAGTTTATTTTGGTACCAATTCTCTTGATGTGACCAACGGACCATGCCAAAAAAATCCTTTTTGAAATACCGTTTCTGTTCTGATAACTGGAAGATTTTTTTAAATGCTGTTGGCTGTCACCAAATCCTTCTAAACGGGCATTACCTCAGACAAAGGGGCAACTCCTCCTATAGGATCTGTGTTCTGTGAATATATACTGTAGCTTTCTGCTCCCATATGCCCAGTATATATAGAGAGAGCTTGCATTTTATCACTGGAACTTTTTTTTACACAATGTTTTGCGTACTGTATTGATAGAAAGGTTTACAAGTGTTTTAACTCTGGTTCTACCAAGAACTAAATTTTTTTACACAAAAATGCACACGCCTTCTTAAAATAACTTTTCTTTGTTTAATGTTTAAATGGCCAGCTCATTTAGAAATGCAAGACTCCTCTATGGTGCTCAAAAGTGCCTCTTTTAGTTTTCCAGGTCGATTTTCAAGTCCTTTAAAAACCAAAAAGTAATTGTTTACATGCTTCATTAATACTGCTGAACTTGTTGAATGTTTTGTTTGAAAACAGTACGCAAAAATTCTAGTGTTTCTCTTTTCTTTTTGTAACTGCTCTTTTAAGACTTTTTATATGGAGAACACATACTATATATTAACACAGTATAAAGCTTGCTTGAAATTTGTAATGTTATAGCACGATATAGAGCATAATAATCAATAGATTTTTGATATGTTTTGTTATTTAGACCATTTGAGTGTGTATTTGTAGGTTTGAGTGTGAATAATAGCTGAGGACCTTTTTTAGTAGTATAACCTTTTTATGCTGTGTCTTTTATCAGAATTGCATTTTAGGAATTTTCTTTTTGCCTTTTTATGAATCTACAGTGCAAAAGCAATTCAAAGGAACAGATTGTGCTATTTTTATACTTTGATGTATTTTTTTTTACATTTGTGTACTTCTTATAGCAACCTATATATATAATTTGTACTCAATAAAACGCAGCTTCGCTGCTGAAAACCACTGCCATGTGTCTGCGTGAAATGCTAATTAAGTTGTCTTTTGTTCGAATATTCCTCTCAGTGGCAAAATGTCTGTAAGGGTCAATGAGGTTCCAAATACATCTTGTTTTCAATAGTGGTTAACCCACTAATTATTTTTAGTGACCTTATTAATTGTTCAGTATGTAAAATCAGAACATAAATGACGGCTTTTCTGAGGAACTGTTGAAACTCCCCAAAAGTATTAAAAAATGCTTAGTAATTTTTGGAATTTTACATGATAAATAACCTTAATGGTTTATCAGTAATCAATATCTGCATTTTGTTTATCAGCTGGTCCATTAATTGTTTCAGTAGTATAATCATGAGATATATAGAAATTTTAAATGATGAAGGCACTTGCAAATGACAAGGTCATACAAAATGTAAACCACACTTTGGCGTTTACTGTATGGTTTAAAATGTAGGTGTGAGCAAAAACACAACTGTATATATAAACACATATATTTATATGTTTATTTTTATTTACAGCAATAAGCAAAGAACAAAAAATTAAAATAAAAACCTTGGAACAGACATCCTGTTATACATTAATTTGAATGAGATGGAAGACGAAAAGCTTTTTTCTTTAAATACCTTTGTGTCTAATCTGGTCGCCTCTCTGATCAAGTGAATTTATTCCACGAAAATGTAGCATGATGTGTAAAAAAGCGCTGCTGTCAAAGATTGCTTAATGAGACAGCCTGCCTCATCTGAGAATATGTGGGGGAAATGTTGAGGATTGAAGAGTTCTGAAAAATGTATTAAGCAGCAATTTTACAGTCAGCCTGGATGAAACAGCAAGACCTTGAAGTGAAGACAAAATCTTATTATCGTTATGTGCTCAGATGTTTGGATTCAAAATTAGGGAATTGTAGTGGCTGCAAGTGCTCTCAAGTCTGGATAAAGTAAGAAATCCTTTTCATCTAATGGTGTTAGAACCAAAAGAATTTGGGCAATGTGATGAAGATGGAAGAAATCTCCTTTAGTGGTAATAATGTGTTTTTCAACAACGGTGAAGAGTCATCCAAATTTTTGGAAAACTGGACCTGCCATCAAAGAAGAGGCAGTGTTTGAATACATTTTTTTGCCCTAAACAAATTCTTGTTTAGATTGAGAAAGTTCTCAGGGAGTCATGTTTAAGTTAAACAAAATATAATCAGGATCTCCTGGCAGGAAAGGAATGTAAAATCTAAGTGCTGTTGGGATAGAAATTAAAGTCTTCAATTCACCCTCAATATGCTCTTTTTGTTTATGCTTGTTCTGTGTTATGTACATTGAGAGCAATGTAATCAGAATCAGAATCATTGCCAGGTATGTTTACACATACGAGGAATTTGACTCTGGATTGTAAAATGCTCACAATGTGCTTATTTATACAATAAGAATGAAACACAGGCTACAGTATAGAGAACACATATATACACACCATGAACAGAAAAAGACAGATTGAGACAATAGTGCCATGAGCAGAGTGCAAAAGATGCAGGAGAAAATTATTATTACCATTATTGTTATTATGTACATGTCGGAGGTGGATGTGATATACAGGTGCACATAAACATACATGCATACATGTACACAGTGTGATGAGTACGAAGAACGCTGGAATAAATAAGTATAATGTGCAGGTGCTATTTACATGCGGTAGGTGGATTTGGTATCCAGTATATACAATATACAGTATGAACAGCTCTGAAATAGAGAATGATGAATATATACTAAGTGGTAGCCAGTAAACAGGTGACAGAGTTACTGGGTTATTGCACAGGAATGGTTGATGACATTGTGAGTCAGTCAGCTGTTCATCAGAGTGATGGCTTGTGCGAAGAAACTGTTTTTGAGTCTGTTGGTTTTGGCGTACAGTGCTCTGTAGCGCCTACCAGAGCGGAGAAGCTGGAACAGGTTGTGTCCGGGGTGAGATGGATCTGCAGTGATGTTTCCTGCCCTTTTCCTGACTCTGGAAATGTATAAATCCTGAATGGACGGCAGGTTGAAACCAATGATTTTTTCTGCACTATCTGTTAGTAGTAGTTAAAGTTGATGTTGGAGTTAAACTCCAGGTTGTTCGGACTGCACCAGTATACCAAATATCACATTCCCCTTATGTGTAGGCCTACACACACCTGGCCATTTAAGCTGATTCTGACAGTGTTGTGTGCTCAGTAATATCCGAATCAGAAACAGAATCTGAATCAGCTTTATTGCCAGGTATGTGTACACATACGGGGAATTTAACTCAGGATTATACATTGCTCACGATGTGCTTACTTGCTATACAATACAATAATAAAATCAGACACAGGCTACAGTAAAGAGAACACATATATACATACTATAAACAAAAACAATATAGACAGATTGAGACAGTAGTGCTGATGGAGTGCAATGGATGCAAGAGTAAATTATTATTATTATTATGTACATGTCGGAGGTGGGTGAGATCCAGGTGCACATACACATAGGTGCATACATGTACACATTGTGATGGAGCATAGTGCAATTGTTGCCGGAATAAATAAGTTTTATGTGCTGGTATTATGTGTTTGATGTAAGTGGATTTTGTATACAGTATATACAATATGACAATATGAACAGCTCTGAATTATAAAACGAGAGAATGATGAATAAATAATAAATGGTAAGCAGTAAACAGGTGGCTGATTAGAGGCAGAGTTACTGGGTTATTGTACAGGAACTGTTCCTGACACTGTGAGTCAGAATATGAAGAACTAAAGAAAACATTGGCTACCTTCAATAGTTTCCGTGTAATTTAAGGCAAAACCAGAATTAAGAGGCTGTAATTAAGGAAGTAGCATTTTAGTACAACCTTGGATTGGAACTAAGTGAATGTTTTGAGCTGACTGCAACTACTCTAGTAAATAAGGAAATGGGTTTCTATAGTTATATACAACTACATCTTATGTGGTTTGATTATGACCTTGTCAAAGACAGGGCATGCAGCTGGAACAGTAAAGCAGTGATAATATGGAGAAGATCTCTGAGAAGTTTGGAGACGCCATTTTTCCAATCAATGAATTCCGCATTTTTTACCATTACTAAAAAAAATATTATCTACCACTGTCCTCATTTATTATAAAAGTATTTTTAATTCCTTTATTACACTTCACAACCAAACATATTTTCTTTCAGCAACATTAACGTTAACATATTGTAAATCGTTTGATAACCTTTAAGTTGTGCTTTTGGTGTAGATCGTTTTTTTTGTTTGTTTTTTTGCGTGTTTTTAAAGAAGACTTAAATAATTAAGATGTTTAAATATTGCGATTAAACACTCAAGACAACAGTTTGAACAGCGCTGGGCATGTCGGCTAGCGGCTAATGCATTGGAGTAGACTAAAAGTTAAAAGCTACAAAAGCTAGTAGCCAGGAAATCTTGCTAACCGGCGTAACCTAACGTTACTTAGCTTAGCATGCTAACACTTTTGTACAATCGTGACATTCACACCGTAACGTTAGTTGTTAGCAAAGTGTACAAGTTGGCTGTTACGTGACGTTATTTTATAATCACTATCAGATTAATGAACGCATGGTGGTAATTTCGTGATATTTCTATTTACTTATATTACGTTGAATTGCCAAACAGTCCTCCCAAGAATAGCGAACTGGCGGGATGGTAACGTTAGCCCAGCCGGGAGCGAGGAAGGGGGGGTGGGTTTAGGGGTTCGGGGCGGAGGATCTGTCGAGTCTGGTACCGGTAGTTGAAACGACAAAGACGGGGTGAGTAGACGATGTTTTCTCAACCGTATTCTGAATATATTTGACAAAGATTTAGTTTATACAACATGAAGTTAGTTAACGCCACTACGTTATATTCGCGCTCTAAATCCGCCGTTTTCTACCGTTAAAGTCCGTTGGCTAGCTCACGTAAGTTAACGTTAATGTAGCGTTGTTTAGCTTGCGTTAACCGATGTAGCCGCATCGGCTTAACGTCTTTTCTATTTATTACAACGTTAACTTAATTCGTTCCCCAAACATAGCAATCTAGCTAAATCGCGATTATTTAATATAAGATAAGCAAGATAGCGTATGTCTGCATTTAATTAGGTTGATTTAAACGTTTAGATGTTAACGTTTGTGGCTATCTTAACATTATGGTTACGTTAACGTTAAGTTACTTGCGGACTGATTTGTACGTTTCGCAGCGAGCAATCTCCAATAACGTTACCTCACCAATTTCACAAAGTTTAACGTTAGTTCATAACTTTTATAAAAGTTATTTTAAAGTGCCTAATCTTTAAAGCGTGATTCGGCCGCTCTATTGTGCACATGGATAGGGAACGTAAAGCTGTCGTTTCATTGTTTACGTGGGTTCGTTATTGTTTGGACTCAACATCGCCCCCATTGCTTGTTGCCATGTTTTCCCTCCAGATCCATCATGGCTTCTCTTCCGGCCAGTGTGGTACAACTTGCACAGCAGCTGATCAAAAGTCGGTTTCAATGATTCACTTTCATTCATACCGGTATATAATCTGACCCCGTGTCAGTTTCTTGGAACTGCTATTTTTCCCGTTGATTCTATTGGTCAGGACTCTACCCGCTCTAATCTGATTGGTGCAAAGATGATAACTTTTTGCCGCATTGGAAACATGGTTGCATTCAAGTCCACACAGTTATTTAAATAAACACCATATGGAAATAAAGTTAATTGATTTAACGTTACTTAATTTGGTTAATAGGGGAAAAAGCAATTCGCGGTAGTGCAGTTGTTTCATACTTACACATAAACAGGTGTTGTGTTTGCAAGCAAGGCAAACTTTCCCTTGTCAAAAACAAATGCGTAGTAATATCCTTCTTGGTAATTTGTAAACACGAGGACACCATTAAATTACCAGGATGTCGCCTAAAGAGAGTGAAATAAATGGGAGCACATCGACAAACCGCGCGTTCATTAGTAGTAGTTACGTAGTTCGTAGCCTTTCATCTACTGAAATTGAGATGAACTGCACGAAATGAATGCAGCATGGATTCGCGGGAGACAGTCAAGGGGAGAAGGCCCAAGTAAGTTAGTTGTCTTTGTGAGAGTGAGCAGGAGGTAGTAAACATCCCGTGCAACAAGTCCAGTAGCTGAGTCTAGACAATTGAGAACACAGTTTTATGTCATTATATCATGGGAAGTTATTTGTCCTGGATTTAGTAATGTTACAAGTCTGCTAAAAGAAAAGTTCGAGTTAAAGGTTTTGAAGTGTAGAGCCAGTTGTTGTGGGGCAGTGATTCATGGCTTGTTCTGATTTCACTGCTGTTTTAAGTGTCTCAGAGCAGTTTGCACAAGGCATGATAGTTTTGTGTAAATGCACAATGTAATTTAAAATGCCTCCCTCATGTTTCACTTGAGCTAAATGCTTGCTGTATTTAATTCCACATCATAAAATATAAGGTAACACAATTCAGTTTTGTGACTTCTTCATCTGATGTGTTTGGTAATGGATCAATGTTTACGTTTGTCTGATATATTACATGGTGTTTGTGCAGGTCCGTCCCTTAAGGAGATGGCACAGAATTTGGCAGTGAACGTAGTTGTGCAATCAGGGGCACCAAATCGATATGAGCTGCTAGCTTGGGTCAATGAATCTTTACAGACGGGTTTCACCAAGGTGGAGCAGATATGCACAGGTAGGTCAACATGCATGTGTGTTTTTAATGTGGGATTCAACAAACTATGGATTTATGCTGTTGCAGCACCTAGACCTGAGAGATTATGGATCTCACCAGTCATGCTATTTGCAAAGGTCAGTTTCGCTTGGAAAATTCTCAGCCTCTGAGAGGAAGGCATGAAGATAAAGAGATTTCTGGAGAAGTTGTGGGAGTAACTAGCCTCACTGTAGCTTATCACTTAAATGAACCAACGAAAAAAAAAACAGAACTCTATATAACTAAAAAACATAAATGTAGAAAATACAAGATAATTCTAAATGATCGTAATATCTTGTTTATTGTGGGCCTTTTGTGCATCTAAATCTATCTACTAACACTTTCCCATGAATGTGATATTGGCAACAAAATAATTAAACCTAAAGATTGTACGATTATAAGTAATTAATTTGAGGCTGAAGTTAATGTTTTGGAATTAAGATCGTAAGATTTTCTGACAGTAATGATCTCTGAATGTAGTGTACTGCTGCCTTAATAAATGAGGCGCTAAATACTCATTAACTTAGTTAATCAGGCCCTTAGTGTTTGAACTTGAATGATGTGTTTTCAAAGCGGCAGCAGCAATCAATTTTTATCAATTACTTCTGTGTGTGTATGTTGTCTGAAATCCAGGTGCAGCCTTTTGCCAGCTGATGGACTGGTTGTTTCCTGGGTCCCTGGACCTTTGCAGGGTCCGGTTCCAAAGCAACAAAACAGTGGACTTTATCCACAACTACAGTTTACTGCAAGCTGCGTTCAGAAAAGTCGGAGTGGTCCATGTGAGTATTGTAACAAAAGCGGTGAACGGCCCCTTAGGCCCCATCCACACTACTCTGTTTTAGTTTACAAACGGAGAATTAAAACGAACATGATCTGTGTAGGTAAATGTTATTTGCACCGTACATAATATTTTAATAAAAGTACGATGTCAAAAACCCGGTCAGTTTGCAAGACCCAATCAGAGAGCCGAGCGTGAGCGGCTGCGTCATCGTTTCTAAAGTTCTCCGGCCCGTCTTCACTAAAACGCCCTTGGGAGTTTTGAAAGGCGAAACGGGGTCGGCAGCGTTTCCAAACTTCTCCGTTTGGACAGGAGGCGCAAACGTAGCAGAAGGTCTCCGTTTTAATTCGAAAACGCAGTAGAGTGGATTTTGCCTTAGTCTGAAAACATTTTAATTTGCTCAGCACAGTTCAGATAGAGGACTAATAAATAATCAAGTTATGTTCACATTGCAGATATATTGGTATCGGTGTATTATGGCCATTAAGTAACAAGAAGACATGGAACAAAAATTATTTATATTATTTAAAAAAAGAATATTGGTTGATATATTTTTATCGGATCATTTAAACTCTCAAATATAGCCTCTAGAATCCAGCTTTGGATGGACTTTAGAGCTGATAACCTTTTCAGAGCCTTTGCATTTTTCATTATTTTATTTGAAACCAGCAGATAGAAACACACCTTAAACTAGAACAATTATTGTTGATTGTAGGATATAAACACATGCATGATCCGTAAACCTTTCCTCTCTCCAGGACATCCCCATTGAGGAGCTGATGAAGAGGAACTCCTTAGTGGCTCTGACCTTCCTGCAGTGGTTTAAGCTGTTCTTTGACCAGAACAATAAAGGCAGGGAGTACCATGCCCTGGAGGCCAGAGGCGGACAGAGTATGGTTCCTGACTCAGGTGGGAGCTGTGTGTGTCGGTGAATAAATCACACAGAAACCTGACATAGCAATGGTTGCCTATTTGTTACAATTACAAAGCACTAAGACCTTTTTATTTAGGTGTTATTCTTACTTGGGGTACATTACTTTTTCACATGTGATAAAGCGGCACCTAAATGTAAAGTTTTGATTTAGTCGCATGGTCAGTATATGACCATTTAAAAGCTCTATTATGTCAATTTTACATGTTGGTCTTATGTTTCACAACAACAATCTTACTAAGTCAGACTGAAGAGCATTTTGAACAGCGTCCTAGCATAAATTGAATGCCATTGCATTAACACGAGGCTACAGCAGCACAAGGTTGAACACGGACAGAGAGATATAAAATACACATCTTATATATATATATAATGAAGTGATACATTTAGTGCAGCTATAATGAGAGTGCTGTGTTGAAAACATCCCTTAATTATTCTTTTTTTTTATTCCCATTACAGATGGTCATTCCTCCCAGACCTCTCATCAGAAACTGGAGATTATTTTGAAGGTGGATGGCCAAGCAGTAGAAGAACCGAGAAACGAAAAACCAAGAGCAAACTTGAACCGGAAGGCAGAAGTGGTAGTTTTTATATCTGACGACGAGGATGATGTGGTGGATGTGACGATGGAGCAGAAACCGGAGAAAATGGAGACACAAGTGAAAGAAGAGTGTCCACAGCCACAGAAGACAATGAAGGTGGAGCAAGCTGAAGCAGCAGTGGACAAGGGAAATCAAGGGAGTGGGTCCTACAGCAGTGATACTTTATTGCACTTCATCAGAAGATACTGGAGTGTCAGTGCTGACTCGAGTACAAACCCTTCAGTCCCTACCATCCTGAGTCCAATCCACCCTAGAGACATCATTCTGGCCTGCTATGACACGCCGTACTGCCTCTACCTGTATACGGGGGTAGAGCTGGGTGAAGGACAGAGCACAAGTGTCATCCTGATTGGCTACTTTGACCAGAGCGCAGGGGTCAATGTGGTGAGGCTGCTGCACACTCTGGAGATGAACTCTGACACTGATGCACAATCTCTGATTCAGACGCTAAAGAAGTGTGGACTTCCTCTGCCCAACCTTGCTGTGTTCTACTGTAACTCTCCAAACGTGGAGGCGAACCAGGCTTTTGTATCCCAGCTCAAGGCTTTCAACACTGGGTTGATATCACTCTGCGGCCTCTCTGGGATTGCAGGAAGAGCCAGCCAGGCTGCACTCTCGGCCTCCTTTCACTCGGTAGTTGACCTGGTTAGAGACATCCACCATCACTACTCCACCTGCTCCTCCGTCAATGACAGCCTGAAAGAGCTATTTGCTGATGCAGAGCCTTACAACCCATCGTGTTCTATCTCTGCACAGTGTTTATTTATCATCAACACTGTGCAGAAGATGGTCAGCAGCTGGAGGGATGTAGTGGACTATTTTAAGTCACTGAGACAAGCAGAGGATACTGACCGGATCAGAACCCAGCTGATGAGTCATAAAGTCAAGCTGCAGTTCCTGTTCCTCTCCCACACTTTGGAGCCCCTCCGAGCTCTCCAAGAATTGCAGCAGGACGGCAAAGCAGAGGTGGCTGTGGAGCTCCAGCTGACCTCCATGCTGGTTCACTCCTACGCAGCCAGTCTCCTCCAGCCCTCTGTCGCTGAGTGCTTTCTCAGGAACCGAGAACTGCATGTGCTAAACAATGAGATGAAGCTCCTCCCACGTCCGAGGTGAACGTAGGTTCTCGTGCCAGAGAGTTCCTGTGGGCCACCGCTGTCGTGGATCTGGGGGATCACGAGAGGAGGGAATTCCTAAAGGACGCGGCGTCTTTCTATAAAGCAGCCCTACAGAGTATAGTAGAAAGTATTCCTAAGCAGCTCGGAGATGTGGCACTGAGGAATATCGGCAAAGTGTTGAAACATCCTGAAAATATCAATGTAAGAACATTTATTTTTTATTATACATGAGTTTATGCAGCCAGCTATAGCTTAATATCTGTTTATGTTTATGTAGAATTAATTAAATTAAACGATATCATAGCGTAGATGCAGTAGGAAAAAAAGCACTGTAAAATTGGACTTCTGGAGCGGAAAGATGTTTACTTCTTTATTTATATAGCGCCAAATTACAACATCAGTTGTGGGATGTTATTTACAGAAACCCAGAGAGTTTAATACTATATCACAAACAGCAGTGAGTGAGCACTGCGAGGATCTACCAACATTAATCTGTTTTCCTCTCTGGTCAGTCTGATAACCGTCAGTGTACAACAACAATCACATTTTTCAGTAATAGTAAAAACACCATTCGCTTTCTGGTGGAAAGAACATGAAAAGATAGATGCCTCTTTCATACCTGTCTGTTAAATAGCAGGGTGTAGCCAGCTGCTGGTTAGCTTAGCTTGGCTCAACTCAGTGACTTCCTGGACTCCGCTGGTCTTCTGGTAACTAATCCCAGCCTAAAAAAACGTAAAACAACCCATCGTCATTTTAAAAATCCAGTTGTTGTACGGATTACTGATGCCACAAATCTGTATATTAAATATTATGTACGGTTCTGTGATATCTGTGTTTTCCCTGCAGGATAATAAATTATCCAGGCTTGTGCTGTTAGAGTTGGGGGATCAGCTGGGTCTGTGTGAAGCTGGGACTCCAGAACAACGTCAGCTGGCATACGACTATGCCAGTGTGGTCAAGACGGCAAAGGAGGAACAGACGAGTGGAACAGGTCACTGCTGGGCGAAGGTAAACTTTTAATACTGGCAAACTCTGTGTAGATAAAGAGCTAGTTCATTAGATGCTGTAGAAATATTGCTATTGAATATCAAATGTAATTACAAGAGTTCCCTGTGTTGTCTGTACAGATGTTGCGCGGCATTAGGCCGTACTCTACTCTGCATAGACTCCTCCTGACTGTCCTGGCCCTGCCGAGCTCCCTATGCAGGACGCAGGTGTTTGCTAAGGTGAGTGTTAAAGACCTTGTCCATTAACAAAGGATCTTATCACACAAAAAGTAGTCCCCCTAAATGGCATAAGACTTTCCTAACCAAGACATTCCTGTTAAAATATTTTTTTTTCAGCTCATTTTAGCTGAAATCTTAAAGTTAGGACTTATTTTTAGGAGTGTCTCCACCATTTAGGAGCTACTTTTAGCATCAGCATCTTTATATGGCCCCAAATACAGACAGTTTGTAGATGACCAGGCTGAATACTGAGGAGGCTTGTACATCTCACAGGCCTACCACTTTTTTATGAGTGACAATGTAACGCGGCATTCAGACCAAATGTGAATTTAATCCATGCAAAGCTCTCCTCGTGGGGGTTTTATCGCTGGACAACTGCTGAGTGTTCACACACAACGCGATAACGCCAGTAAACACACCTCGCCATTACTACAGCTGTATGAACCCAAAGTAAACATTTTGCTGTGATTAAATAGCAATTAACGGATCAAACCGATGCCGAAATAACTACAAAATGATGCAGATTTGTTAAACATATGAATTCATGCTTTGTCAGGTCTGTCAACAGGACAACAACTTCTAAAATGTTTGTTTTCTAAATGGAGTTCGGATCGATCAGGGCTATGCTATGCTAACTTGGTCACAGTAAAGCACAACGATAGCTGGAATAAAGTTACATACACGTTTTCTGAACTCACCAGGTAGTTCAACCTCCTCGCTTTCTTTTCTCCAAGTACTGTCCAGTTTTTTTTTCCAGTACTTGTCAGTTTTTTTAATATAAATATGAAGTAGCCGGAAGTGCACGGAATGGAGCTCCTGAGAAGCTCGAGCTCCTCCCACGAGCAAACGGCGTAGTTATTAGAGCATAATCCAGTCCGACTATGGGTGTTTATTTGTCCAAAAGCTGGAGTACTGCTCCCGGCCCCCTCCCCCACGTTTAGCAGCTCTTCGCCGGCCCACAGATTTTCAATCCCCCGCTCTGCCTGGCCCTCTCAACACAATGCTCTGAAGCCATCGGTGACGTACGGACAATCTCAACGCTGATAGGCTATCATGACTCAGCGTCACGCGACTTTCTCGCTTGAGTTGAAAATATTCAGTCAATCCCATCGCATTGCCTTCGCATTGCCGGCACCGCCCCCTTCGCCCGACAGGAAATTGCGGCTCTAAGCGTCTTTGCGTTGACTTTGTATGTAAACTCACCACCCCGAATGCTCGCTTCGCTTTTGGTCTGAAAGCGCCAACTGTGATATTTTATCTTTTCTAGTCATCGCATCTTTAGGCAAATTAATTTGCTTGCAACCCACGCAGCCAGTACAAGTGATTACGGATAGAAAGTGACAGCCGTAGCAAGTATATGTCCTTTTTCTTTTGCCTTTTGTTTGTGTCAGTGTCTAGATGTGTGTACATGTGTGCGTAAGTTAAATCCTGAGCAGTGGTACAACATACATCAGGAACTGGAAAATTCATCCACTTGAATATGTTGTTTGTATTTTTTCTAGTTTTGTATTTTTGTGAAGATAAAGACTTAAATGTGTGTGTGTATTTGCTCTTGTCTCAAGGCTTTCAACACCCCCAGTATCCTTCATGAAAGGAAAGAAACCTCCATAGCCTCATCTCAACCAGGCAGGTGGACAGGAAGACCCCGCATCTGTAGAAGAAAACCTGTCAAGGCAAGAAATGGTTATAAGAAGAAAGAAGAAGAAGCTGGAGAGAATTCATCAGAAGAAAGTGATCGTTATGTGGCCAAAACCCGTCTAAATATTCCATCACAACACTACAGCAGTAAGGAGGACTCGGCCAAAACCCGTCTAAATATTTCATCGCAACACTACAGCAGTACGGAGGACTCAGACTACACAGACAATTCCTCTGGTAAGACTGTCAGGTGTGCACTTTGCTAGTGTCTACAATTCTATGTTACCAGCTAGGCTTGGGCGATATCTATGACATTTCACGGGGTAAATATGGTAAATGATGGTATTTGTGTAATAAAACAAAGTAAAAGCTGAGCTTCTGGTCATGATATTAATGATAACAATAACAATGCATATAGTGTTTTATCATAGATACTCAAAGCACTTCAGGGAAAGGTGAACTTATCTCGACCACCACCGATATGTAGCACCCACCTGAGTGATGCACGGCAGCCATATGCGCTACACACCACACACCAGCTTTAGGTGGAGAGGGAGGGTGATTAAGAGAAAGCAAGGTTGGGAATTTTTGCCTGGATACCGGAAAACCCCCTACTCTTTGTGCCATTGTAATGTCGTTTCTTTGGTTTTACGTCTCGTTTCATCGGTTTTATGACGGGATGAAAGAAGTCATTCTAGCATGTATGACATTTTCTAGCTTACAATGTTGTGTGTCGGGAATGTAGTTGGCTTACTTAGACAAGTCTCGCTGGGTTTAAATACTTATGACCCATAGAATAATGATGAAATAGAAATGCAATAAGATCCTCCTTCCATGGATTCTTGCTGGAGGACCTGATGATGCGTGCATATATTTGATCAGGTCCTGGAAAAGTGCAGGGGGGTGATTGTGTTGTAGATGATGTCGCCCGCCTACTTTGAGGGCGTACACTACGATACATCTACTCAAAACGGCATCTCCGTATCAGTTTTATAGAGAGAGGAGCGCCTGTATTTTTAACGATATTCAAAGTCGTACAGTCATGAATTTAAACACCCTGGTATATCGTAATATTGTGATACCGCCCGGCCTAAGCCTTATAGCATCTTTATCAAATGAAAATGTCCCTGATTAATTAAATTTATTGTGATGCCAGCAGCAATTTCAAATGATGATAACCAATGTGTGTTTTTATTTTTTTATCAGATGTGGTTGATCTCACAGAAGACTTCAAAGTACGTCGGCACAACAGGATGATAGAAGCAGAAAGTAAGAAATGTGCAGTATTATTAATAATCTAGTAAAACATGCTGTAGGCTAACAGTGATCTCCTTTTAATGCATTCATTCTCGAATGAGCCCTATCGGCATCTTAAGCTGCATTAAAGCAGGTGTTGCAGACGCTGCGTCTTGTAATACTTACCTGCACAATTTAATTTTCTATAAAAATTACACATTTTCTAAATTCATTTGTGAATAGCATTAGCGACATGTTGGCAAGGCCAGGTGTTCACACCACAGTGAGTCACTTCAAGATGAACCGGAGTTCACCACAGCGCAGTAGATTCAGTAGCTTATTGTCACTGTTTTGCAGGTGATAGCCCTCCACAGGCGGAGACTGTGGTTATTGTGAGCGATGATGATGACGTCATGGTTTCAACAAGCACACCATCCAACTCAACAGAACTGCTGGTAAAATCTACTGTAAAGTTAGCGTAGTGTTATAACCAGTAATTTACTACATACATACAGTATATGTATTATACTTTAAACACAATGTTTTATTCTCAGCTGAGCCAGGTAGCAAATGTTCACATCAAATATAGAAACACATTTAATGGTGCTTTCACATCTTAACCTGTTTGGATTGATTCAAACATCCTCTGTTGTATTTACCTGTTTGCCGGTTTAGTTAGTTTATGCAGGTCTGAAAGCTGTTAATCAAAGTCTCGTATGGACCAAACAACTGGACGAAAACCGCCTGATAAAGGGCTTCTTGGTACACTTTTTAATGGACTTCATTTGTGGTGGAAAAGCAAAGCGAACCAACCACAGGTTTTTGTGAGAGTAGATGAATTCAAGACTACTGAATCACCTGCTCGTCATTTTAGAGACTAAACGATAAATGAATTAATGAAGAAAATATTTGACATATTTATCAATAATGAAAATTGTCATTGCAGGATATATATATATATATATATAATGCAAGATCATTTGGGAACTATGCAAACACCTGTCTGTTTGCTATGTTCTTTGTGACACCAACATATAATAAATAGATATAGCCCTGTGAAGTACTGCATATCAGTCACAAGCTGCAGCCCTGATGACATCACCAAAACTGTCCAATGAATGAGTTACCTGTCAGGCCATATTGTTTTATGTGTCCTCCTCTTGGTTTGTACTTAAAGGTCAGTAATAACAAGAACCAGACAAGAACTCAAGGGCAACAGTGTGTCATGAGGTTGTAGTGCTTAGATTACAGGTTAAAACAGAAAGGAACCTTTCAACATGTTAGAAACTGTCTGTGTTTTTGCTTTAACATCTTGTTTGTTTGTGTTGTACAGGATGCGGCGGGGGAGCTGGTCTGGGGTCAGGTGGAGGGCTTCACTCCCTGGCCAGCCGTCATTGTACCGTGCAGGGGAGAGGTTGAACTTCCAGGGAAGAGGATGGTGGAGTGGTACGGACAGCGAATGTCCTCTCAGGTAAGTCAGGTATGAGGGTGAAAATCAGGGATTCTGAGTTTATACAGTGCGTAATGATGTACATATATGCTTCATATTCATAGTGACATTACGTGACTTTGCCACATTTTCAGCACCAGAACTCTCTGTTCGTTCTGTATCAGATGACGACCTATTAAACTGCTTTCCCAGTCCTATTTTGTTGTTCTGTGCCTCCTGTATGGCAGCTTTGCATGATCTTATACTAGCTCTTTATGGAGAGCTTCATTTCAGCCTCTGTCTGAAACAAGCTGTAGATGCTCGTCTCTTTAAGGCACCCCCCTCTCAAAGCCCACTGTCTTCTGATTGGCCAAGACCTGAAGCATGTTACCAGGCTGTTGTTGCTGCTGAGCGGTACAGACAGACTGAGCGTTGCTGTGTGGAGCAAATGACTGTAATACCGGTGTTCTGACAATTTATGGTTCCTTATCGAGACGTGCAACCTTAATGCAAATTACCCTCACCCTAACCAACAGGCATGCAAAGAACTGCCAAGTAGCACATCCCGGTAGGTAGCATAAATTGTCAGAATATCTGCGCTGTGTAGCTCTGTGTGTCGGACGGAGCAGTCGGTAGAAAAAGCTGTTCAAAACAGAGCATTCAGAACAGGAGGAAATCTGAGTTTTTTTTCTCACAGGGATTTCTTTTAAATACTTTAACCTCATTATTTGAAGCTTTGACCATGTTTAACATGAACATCTAACATTGTATTGTAGATAAGTCATAAAATGGAAATGGAAAAGCATAATAGATCTCTTTTAAAATGAAGACCTGAACCACAAATGACCACAATTACCATTGGCGGTTCTTTTAAATTCCTAAAATCTTTCTGATACAATTTCCTGAGCTGAGCTTTATACATATTTCCTTTCAATGCACTGATTTCTTGGCTCTGAATACAGGTCAGTTTGGAGGAACTGAAACCATTCGGTGCCTTCGCCCAGCACTTCAGCGCTAACTCCTTTGCCATCCTCGTCACCTACCGAGAAGCCATCTTCTTGTCCCTGCAGGTCTGTGTGTATTTCCTAATACAAAAGCACAGGAGTTAAAAGTGTGTGTGTTGTGTTAACTGCCCAGCCAACATACAAACAGCAGAAGCTGCTCCATTGACAAATTAAAAGCTGAACTTAGAAAGTGTTGTTATGTGATAGATATTTGTGCTGCTGCTTACATATGTACGTCCGTGTCTATCAGGAGGCGGCTCTGCGTTGTAAGAAGCAGTTTTCTCCACGTCTTGAGGACCGAGATGAGCTGCTGAAACAGATGTTAGACTGGGCCTTTGGAGGCTTTGAACCCACTGGGCCAGGCGGATTCATACAAGGGGCTGCAACAAATGGTACGAACATCTTATTTAAGAACCTGAATAGATTTACTTTCAGACTGAGGTGGGAAACGATGTGTGAAAAAGTTCTGATACTGCCGTCATTCAAATTCAAGTATATTAAGGCTATGTTCAGACTGCAGGCCTTAATGCTCAATTCCGATTTTTTTCTGTTTGACAGTTCACATTATAGTTTAAATGTGGCCCATATCAGACTCCAGTGTGAACTGTCCACGGCCTGAAAGGGACCTGCATGCGTAGAAGAATAACACGATGTCACACGCAGCAGCACGCTGTTGCAGGCTGCAGAAGTAAACAAGGAGTAACATAGCTCCGGTTAGCTCGCGGGAGATTCCCGTTTTTCTTCTCACGGGTCACGTTTCTCCCGAATTATGTGTTCACAACTTTCTGTTCTTTTCATTACGGTTTCTGGCGCTGTACAACGCAACTGCCCCGTAACTCACTCACTCACTCGCATTTAAAATCGGATTGGACCACATATGGAAGTGGCCCTATTCCAAACTGGAAAATGTGACCGATTCCATGTGACTTGGCCTGTTCACACTGTCATAAAAATATCAGATCTGAGTCACATATGGACAAAAAAATCGGATTTGGGTCACATTGGCCTGCATTCTGAACATATCCTTAGTCTTTTTGTCAGAGAAATACTAAACAAATTTGACATTGAAATACATTGATATGCATCTATTTACATGCTTTTGTTGTATATTACATGCACGTTTCTCAGTTGCATTATAGAGAGCTGAAGTCTGGACGTCAGCTACAGGCTAGTCTCTTCCATTGCTGTAATTTAATTTAATTTTAATGCATTTTTTATCTGCATGTTCTGACAAAATGAAGCAAATGATTACACTCTGTATTCTAAAATATCTAAAATAATTAATTTTATTACAGCACTTACTATTGAAACTGATCTTTGCAAAGTTAAACAATGATGAATTTGTTACCGAACAACACAGCAAAATGCAGCATTTGTGTCATCTTAACCAGGTTTCTTCCACATTTATAAATTCACCAACACTCATATAATGTTGTTTTCCAGCTTTTAAGCTGTAACATTTACTTTCTAAAAAACATCTACACTGTCTGGCCTTCTCGCTCTGAACTAGCTGTACCTCCGACTTGCCCATGGAGACATGATTTTATCAAGCTGGTGTTGAACTTGCAATTATCTAAGGCTTATGGGAAATGGTGCTCATTGGAGGCAGCTAAGAAAGACATAAAATAAACAATATTATTTGATTTAAAACCAACACATTTGGACTGAACCACACGATATACTGTTTGGTTGTGTTGAAAGGCATATTTTTTTGTAATTTGGCATTATTATTATAGGTTTCGCTTAGGTTCTCTATAGTTTTCCCAGAGTCCCAGAAGATCAAGCTCACAATTAGTTTCTGAAGACTTCAGTGCGTGAAAAAGCACACTGCTGTTGGTGAGAAAGAGTTCAAACATGAACAGAACTTGAGCTAATAGCTTAGGGGAATGTTATTGTATGAAGAGATTGCAAGCACAGCCAGCCCTCTAGATAAAGATAAAGGTATAAACAGCCACACAGACTAATGTGGATACAAGTAAGACAGAAGAAGATTTGACATTCATGCAGGTTCATACTATTAATACGATTCTACAGATGGAACATATGGTAACTATTCTTTACTGTTGTATAACCTGATGGTCACATGTACGATTGTCTTCTGTCCAGGTGTAACTAAAACAACAAACAACAGACCAAAGGTGATGAAGAAACTTTTCCCGCAAGCCAAATCTTCTCCTCACTCCTTCGGCTCGCCCCACTCGATGAGCAGCAAGAGCAGTATCATCAGCGCTGAGCTGAAAGAGGTGGCTATCTCTTTAAACAGACTGTCGTGCGATTCCGTAGAAAAGTCCTCCCACAGAGGTGGAGGCAGAAAAACTACGTGGGAGGACAGATTTGATATAGCGGGAAAAGGCTCTAAAGGAGTCATAAAGGAGAAGGGATCCAGAGGAGGGTGGACAGCAGAGAGGTGGAAACAAGGGAAGGGGGGATGGGAGGGAGAGAAAGATGACTGGGGAGTAGGCAAGGGCAAGGGAGGGTGGAAAGGGGGAAAGAGTCTGAAGAAGAAGATCGATGGATTTGATGATGACATGTCACCAGACTTTGTGCCGCACAAGAAGAGGACCTACACCAAAGTTTACAATAAGGTCAACCAGGCAACCAGCGTTTATACCCAGCCGGACCAAAAACTCAGAGGTACGAAACAGAATTATTATTAATTTGAATGATATGAAACACTTTTGTAAGAATGCCAAACTGAGCAATCTAACCTTTTCAAATGACTGAGAATCAAATCACAAGATGGTTAACAAGGTCCGCAGATGTACAAAACGGTAGAGCAAGTCGCCCGCTAATCGGAAGCTCGGCGGTTTGATCCTCGGCTCCTCTCGTCTGCATGTCGAAGTGTCCTTAGGCAAGATACTGAACCTCAAATATCTCCTAAAAGTTGTGCACTATGCATTGTAGCCTCTGCCATCAGTGTTTAAATATGTGTGAACTGGGTGAATTGCATTTTCAGTGTTTGGAAGACTAGAAAGGTTGAATACAGGTACAGTCCAATTACCATGTTGATGGATTGGTGTGTTGCTGTGGTTGTGATTTCTCTACCTTATTCAATGCTTAGTTTGTGTGTGAGATCCTGCCTAAGTTCTCACACTAATGATTAACTGAAGTAGTCTGCAATATTACACCAAACTTAATGAACTTAAGGAGACAGTGAATCCTTTCTCTGTAAGTGATTTGCAAGTGATGCCCAGTCAAAAGCAGTTATGTAAACAGGAAGTCGTCAGCATTACGAGCTCTAACATAACTTACAAAAATCACAGTTTTAGAGACCAAACAAAAGATTAAACTTTTTTGCACATACATACAGAGAGAAATGTGTTTCACTTTAAAGGCGTAAAGTTTTATAATTTAATTTGAGATTTTGAGATTTAATACATTTTCAGCTTTTCCTGGTCAGATATGTTAGCCACATCCCGTTCAGTCTAAGTGGGTCCTACAAATATTTAGTAACAACTAATCTGTACGTAAGAATTAGTTTTTTGACATCTTTTAATTTAGTAATGCATGAATATTCAGCACTGTACTTCCAAGTTGGAAGTTGAATCATTTATCATGCAGCGTTCACCTGTTATTCAGTTATTGTTTTCACTCCTTGCAGAAAAGACCATTCGTAAGATCATGGATATGAAACTGGACATTGAAGGTGAGTCTTTTGACATGTTCTATGTCATTTAATTAAAAATTTGTCCCCCTTTTTATGCATAAATATTTCGCTCTCATATTGGCTCAGTTAGTTTATTACTGGCTGTGTTTACATGTGCACAGTAAGAACTGCTAATGCTGATTATTCTCATAATGATTCCTGAAGTTTGAGGATGTCACATTTGTTACAACATATTTGTAGTAAAACATATAAGCATGATATTTTATGTTTTATGCGTTTTATTCGTATAGATGAATTTACTCATTTGTTCCTCACTTGCTTCTTCCCTGTTGTCTGCAGGCTTCTGTTTGTGTTGTGGAACTGACAAAGTTGAAGTGTCCCACCCTCTATTTAAAGGCAGCCTCTGCTTGGAGTGTAAAGTAAGACATTATCAACTTCTCTTTATGTTCCAGCTGTGACCAACGCATGTTTAACGTGTGAATCTCTTACCATTCCTGTAAAACGCCTCTTCAAGGCATATCCAAAGGAAATTTAATGTAGTTCTTGAACCATTTGGAGTAAATGCATGGTTTTGGGCTTCTCTGAAAGATAACACTCTAACCCAAATCAGAATCACTGTAAGTGCTACTGGAATTAATTAATATAAGTTTAAAGACACTAAAACTAATATTTTTCGTTTCCACTTGAAAATGGTTGCTAAGAAATGCATGCAGACAACTATAGCTGGGTCTTATTAGCTGGAAAACACTGTAGGGACGCGGCATAAAGCCTTCCCTAGTCCAAGTTTAAATTTTATACCAATACCATGAAAAACGACTATTTTACTATTTTTTTTAGCGTATTTTTTCTAAAACAGAACTGCCCCTTGGCAGCAGGCAGCCGCTGCTGCTGCATCACTGTGTATTAGGCGGTAGCTTGACGCAGATGTTTGTTTGCTGGTAGATCATCCTACTTCAAGCTGGATATCGTTATTGTCTGAATTTTATTGGCTACACAAAGTGCCAGTCATCGGCACAATTGCTTGCAATTGGCTCTGCCTATCTACGAAATAATAGAAGCTGGCCCTTCCTTACAGCTCGCGTTCTCGTTGGCTATTGTAGGCTGTGAAAGGGACATGTGAGCTCCTATTGGGTTGAATTTGGTGTCACTCAAAAGGTCAGAGTTCTGCAGCTACACTTAATACAAGATATCGTAGTTGTTTACATTCAAATCTGAGTTATTACGGTTTTAATGACATACAAGCCAGGTCTACCGGCAAATATGAAACAATGCGGCAGCAGTCCCTGGGGATTTATTGATGTAATAATGTGTTTTGCACTAAATGATTTTACTGGATTGGATCGTCTAGACCTTTGACGACATAACAAGACCGTTTTTGTTAATAATTTTTTGTGCATAATCGATCGGTGGATTACTATGAGGCTTCATAGGTGAGTCGCGTAAATTTTGATTGTACCGGCTGGTCTGACAGAGGCGCTGACTGTACCCGCTGTGGTGATTGTATCTTGGAATGGTTTGCACGGGTCGAATCACAAGGATTTTAGCTTTTAAACGGTGGAGTATCAAGTTTACACACAAAGTGCACAACAAAATCAAAAACACATATTTTCCTAGTGCTATTTATCCATCTAGATTGTTTGGTTGTGAGTTGCTGAGTTTTGGAGATACCAGCCGTAGAGACGTCTGCCTTCTCTTGAATATACATGAACTGGTTGGCACTCAATTTGTGATGGTCAAAGCTCCCAAAAGCACATTTGAAAAACTCAACAGCAATGTCTCTTTCTAGAAATCATGACTCAAGACAATCCACAGAGAGACACTACACCCGCTAACTGTATTTCCTCTGAGAAGGAAGTGTCCATCTAATCCTGAACGAGAAGTAACTACGTCATGATTTCTGGAAAGAGAAATTGCTTTCGAGTTTTTTTTGGTTTGTTTTTTTAGAGCTTTGACACCCACATTTCTACAGCAGACTAATCTTTATTTTTGTTTTCGTATTTCCATTTCTTCTTCCCCCTGTTCTGTCATTTAGTCTGTTAATTTCCCTGTGATGCTGTTTGTCTCTCTGCAGAATAACTTAACAGAAACTCTGTATCGTTACGATGAAGATGGATATCAGTCCTACTGCACCATCTGCTGCTATGGACTGGAGGTCATACTGTGTGGCAACAATAGCTGCTGCAGGTTGGTCTGCTCCTCTGCATTTCAGTCTAGCTCTCTAAAACAAAGGTAACAAGTAGAGCATATTTTTTGTCCCCTTCGTATAAGTGTCTGTTCTCATCTTCTACATTTGCAGATCTTATTGTGCAGACTGTATGAACATCCTGGTCAGTCCGGGGACGTTTGATTCCTTAAAGCTGCTGGACCCGTGGATCTGCTGCTTGTGTCAGCCTCATCGACCCCACGGCGCTCTGATTCCCAGAAAGGACTGGAGCATTCGTGTTCAGGAATTATTCGCCAACAACAGCGCCATGGAGTTTGTAAGTGCTCAACTGATCTTAACCGTTTTCATAAGCGTGCAAACTCACCTGCTCTGTGAATACCTTCAAATATTTTCAATGTATTCCAATTTTTCAGTATAACTCACATTAAATGTCTGTGTATATTGCTTCTTCATTTTGCAATGACAGGAATAGTTTTGCAAGGTTTAGATTCTTAGTAATCAAAACAGTATTAGGAGGCTTTGTTTAAAATTTTAATTTGCTTTAGGGGTGCAACTTGCACTTATTTTCATTATCAATGAATCTGCTTGCCCAGTTATATATTATACAAATATATTCAATTGAAAATTATGTTAAACTGAGAAAAGTTGCAGGTTTTTATTTGCTTGCAAATGGGAATAGATGTAGATAAATCGTCTGTCGATTGACAAATTAAGTTAGTGGCTAATCGTTTCAGTTGCAATCTGCATCTTTTTTTTTTTCCATTCTGGTACCTGCACTCTTATTTTCTTTCTTAATCTTTTGTGTCCTGAAATGAGGCGGTAAATTAAGTACATTTGTGATGGGGATTCAGATAGGAAAAAAATGTACTACTAAATGAATTAAATTTAGCTTTGCATACAACCCATAAATACTCATTATATTTAAACATTTTCTTATTAAAAAAACTATTATTATTATTAATTATTGTGTTTACGGTAGACTGTATTGATTGATTGACATGCAGGCAAATTGAATTGTTGCAGCAGCAGAAGGAAGTACAAGAACACATTCATAGAATAATGTACGCATTAGGAGCATCTACTGTGGACTAGGGTTGTTCCGATTGGTGATTGGATCACCTATCGACAATTGAAGGGATGATCAGCGATTGGTTTTTCATGCTCCGATATTAAGGCGATTTTAACTAACTCACTATCAGAACTAAGATGATATAAAAACAGTCTCTAGAATCTGCTCCACACTGCCACAATAGCAACGCTGGCCGCCACATACTATTTAATGAATAAAATCATAATTCACTCAGCTCCTCCGCTTGTGTCTGTCTGTCTCTCTTCTCTCGCTCTCTCTCACAAACACATTGAAACTTATGCATTGAAGTTAACTCTGAGAAATTAGTCTATCTATTTTCTTAACACGATGCTGTCAATGTCTGAGATGGATATGTTAATGTTAGAATACATCTAGATTGTCGAGGTTAACATGCTGTACATAGCTGCTTTCGATGGCAACTTCCTGACACGGTAATTATGTGGGAAACACTGTACTGTGCATTAACAGATGTTTCTGGTGGTTTACCTTAAAGCTAATAAGCCTGATTCTTCCATGCTGGCATTTCACTGACTTGCTGCAACGTAACACCGCCCCCCTGGCGATCAGGTCACCAATCGGTGATCTCAAGTAGCCATGATCTGAAAATAGAGATGATCACCCAACCCTGCTGTGGACACACATAAGCATTAAAACAACAAAGTAAAAGGTACAAAAATATATATAAACCTTTTAAACAAAGAATTTAACCACAGACTAAAGACATATTAAACTAAAATACAAGTTTCATTTGATAAATAAAGAATCTCACTGGCTTAGTTACCACATTGTTTTTACTGTTTTGCCTTGTAGGAGCCGCACCGTGTTTACCCGTCCATCCCAGCCAACCTGCGCAGACCAGTTCGAGTTCTGTCCCTGTTTGATGGCATAGCAACAGGTGAGTACACAGACCTGTACCCGGTTTTCCCCAATAACAATCGATGTTAGAAGCTAAGAGGATTTCCACCACCGCTGTTCAAATTCTGTATGTTTTTCCCAAAGCGGTACTTAGGAGCGAGGGCACGCACGTTAAGTGTTGTCAACAACACAAAAAAATGTTTTATACTTGTTCTGTATGACAACAAAGCTTGAGGCAGATGTTACTCGTCGTTATAAAAAGAAAAGAGAACATACAGGTGCTGGTCATATAATTAGAATATCATCAAAAAGTTGATTTATTTCAGTAATTCCATTCAAAAAGTGAAACTTGGATATTATATTCATTCATTACACACAGACTGATATATTTCAGATGTTTATTTCATTTAATTGTGATGATTAAAACTGACAACTAATGAAAATCCCAAATTCAGTATCTCTGAAAATTTGAATATTACTTAAGACCAATACAAATAAAGGATTTTTAGAAATGTTGGCCAACTGAAATGTATGAACATGAAAAGTATGAACCTGAAGTATGAGCATGTACAGCACTCAATACTTAGTTGGGGCTCCTTTTGCCTGAATTACTGCAGCAATGCAGCGTGGCATGGAGTCCATCAGTCTGTGGCACTGCTCAGGTGTTATGAGAGCCCATGTTGCTCTGATAGTGGCCTTCAGCTCTTCTGCATTGTTGGGTCTGGCGTATCGCATCTTCCTCTTTACAATACCCCATAGATTTTCTATGGGGTTAAGGTCAGGCCAGTTTGCTGGCCAATTAAGAACAGGGATACCATGGTCCTTAAACCAGGTACTAGTAGCTTTGCACTGTGTGCAGGTGCCAAGTCCTGTTGGAAAATGAAATCTGCATCTCCATAAAGTTGGTCAGCAGCAGGAAGCATGAAGTGCTCTAAAACTTCCTGGTAGACGGCTGCGTTGACCTTGGACCTCAGAAAACACAGTGGACCAACACCAGCAGATGACATGGCACCCAAACCATCACTGACTGTGGAAACTTTACACTGGACTTCAAGCAACGTGGATTCTGTGCCTCTCCTCTCTTCCTCCAGACTCTGGGACCTTGATTTCCAAAGGAAATGCAAAATTTACTTTCATCAGAGAACATAACTTTGGACCACTCAGCAGCAGTCCAGTCCTTTTTGTCTTTAGCCCAGGCGAGACGCTTCTGACGCTGTGTCTTGTTCAAGAGTGTCTTGACATAAGGAATGCGACATCTGAAACCCATGTCTTGCATACGTCTGTGCGTGGTGGTTCTTGAAGCATTGACTCCAGCTGCAGTCCACTCTTTGTGAATCTCCCCCACATATTTGAATAGGTTTTGTTTCACAATCCTCTCCAGGGTGCGGTTATCCCTATTGCTTGTACACTTTTTTCTACCACATCTTTTCCTTCCCTTCGCCTCTCTATTAATGTGCTTGGACACAGAGCTCTGTGGACAGCCAGCCTCTTTAGCAATGACCTTTTGTGTCTTGTCCTCCTTGTGCAAGGTCGTCTTTTGGACAGTCTTCCCCATGATTGTGTAGCCTACAGAACTAGACTGAGAGGCCATTTAAAGGCCTTTGCAGGTGTTTTGAGTTAATTAGCTGATTAGAGTGTGGCACCAGGTGTCTTCAATATTGAACCTTTTCACAATATTCTAATTTTCTGACATCCTGATTTTGGGGTTTTCATTAGTTGTCAGTTATAATCATCAAAATTAAAAGTAATGAACACTTGAAATATATCAGTCTGTGTAGAATGAATGTATATATTATACAAGTTTCACTTTTTGAATGGAATTACTGAAATAAATCAAATTTTTGATGATATTCTAATTATATGACCAGCACCTGTATGGAACCAGAAAATATACAATCAGGAAACTGGCATTTCAGTCAGAAGATGTTAATTTATTAGTAGCTGGAGCTTTTTAAGGTGCTCTTATGGTTAATCTTTAATCTACTAACATTTCTAAGAGCATCCTAAGTTTTGATGCTTTTGGGAAACACCTCTTAATCTTAATAAAGTTTGTAAGAATGATTTTACAACCACTTTAGCCTTAAGATGCTTTTGGGGAAACAACTCTCTTTTTGGGATTGTAGTTTGCTCTGATGGTTCACTCCTCTGTTCTGACCTCACTATTCTGAGATACTTTTCTGCTCTTATAAATTCTAATTATGATTATACTGTATATTTGTTTAAAACAGAACATTTTCATTCCTGATGTCAGTCAGAAGCTTACAGTATGTATTTTTTTTATTCTTTTTGTTTCAGGGTACCTAGTGCTGAAGGATCTTGGCTTCAAAGTAGAGAAATATGTTGCCTCAGAGGTCTGCGAGGATTCAATTGCTGTGGCGACCGTCAACCACGATGGAAAGATTGTGCATGTTGGTGACGCTCGGTCTATCTCCCAGGAATTCGTATGTTCACACACACACACTGTTTGTTGTTCTTCCTGAACATGTTCACATTCTTACACAGTTGATAACGTTTAAATTATTTTTTCTTGCTACCATATTCTCTGTGACTCTGTTTGATATCTGACTCATTTGAATCCTATGCTTTTATTTAAAGTCTCATATTTTGTTGTTTTGAGTCATTTGAAAGCGTGTGGGTTAAACCTGCTCTATACATGATTGGCTTTCTGGCGGGACAAACGCCATCTTTGCTGTTTACAGGCTTTCCCCATATAGTTGTATGTGATTGAGGTGCAGCCATAATTCATGTGTGATTTACACCGTAAAGGGTCAAAGTTCTTCATCCAAAAACAAGTTTACAGCTTGTTAAATGCACACAGTCAAGTGGATACTGATTGGTAGGTCACCATGGTAGCGACTTCTCAATCACACAGTAGTCCCTCCCCCTAAAGCATACCCTGCTTTATCGTCTATCTTTCTCTAAATGGAACCATCATTTACAAAATTAACATCATGCTGTGTTAAAGAAGACAGGCTCTCTATGAAAAGTGCAAAAAGACAACTTATGAATTGGCGCTCTATTAATAAAATTTAATTGAACACGAAGACATACATACAGCTCAACACAGCTCAACTGAAGTGACAATTAGCCTAAGACTAAATTAAATCAGCTCCTTGTTCCCTTTTGACGATGCAGCTCGAGCAGTGGGGTCCGTTTGATTTGCTGATCGGAGGAAGCCCCTGTAATGACCTCTCCATCGTCAACCCATTCAGAAAAGGCCTCTATGGTACGTTACTGTGTTGTATGCTTTTCAGCTTTAAATTAATAAATTATTTGTGTTTATAATATGCCAACGAGTCACTGATTCTATTAGAAAGGTGCTACTTTCATGTATTTGTAAATTGGGAACTTTTAGGTTTTAAATAATATTTCCAGCCTTAACTGCAATGCTGATAATTTTGTAATCACAGTTGTCATGCGGATGCTTTCTATGTTTGAAACTAGTATAAAAATGTCCTTTCTTCTTTGCTGTAATTCACTTCTCTCTCCGACAGAGGGCACTGGCAGGCTGTTCTTTGATTACTACCGCATCCTTCAACTGCTGAAGCCCAAAGAGGAAGACCCGAGGCCATTCTTCTGGCTGTTTGAGAACGTGGTCTTCATGAACACACATGACAAAGTCAACATCTGCCGCTTCCTCGAGGTACGCCCCATCCGGTTCTGTTTGGTTTCTGTTGGATCCTTTTTATCTTTGTGCTCTCCTCTTCTTACTATACATAACAAAGTATATTAATAGTTATGCTTTATTACTACATCTCACTTCATATTACATTCAATAATAATAATTAAAGATTATTATTATTACATTTAATTTCCCATAGCATATTGTGTAAATATTATGTTTTATTACATTTTATTTCTATTAAAATTCTATAAATTAATTAAGACAAACACAGAGCATCATTACTTATCATCATATTATATTTTCATCTGATGTTTGCTGTTACAATAGATGGTATCATATCACTCTAACATGAACTTTACTTAGCTGCTACAAACACACCACTTTGTCACTTCACTTGAGACAGTACTTTACTATTAGTTTAAGTACAACACTGGTCGTGGGTTCTGTATGTATGTGTACTGCTTGCCTGTCATTTTTAGTTTAATTGCTCTTGTATTGTTTTCTGTTCTTATTTTTTATTTTATGTACAAGTAATCTGTACTTTTCCCTTTGGGGATCAATAAAGGCTTATCTTAGGATGATAAGATAAGCCTGTATCCATCCTTCTCTCCTTTTCGGTTCTTTCGTTCCCTTTATCCTGTTACTTTTTATTCCTTCCCTCTGCCTTCATGTTTTCTTCCCGCCACTTCCTTCTTTCCTTGTTGCACTGCAGTTTTCCTCTAACTAACATCTTCTAAACTCTGAGAACTGACTGTTGCTGCTATCTGATTGTTCAACAGTGCAACCCGGTGCTGGTGGATGCAGTCAAAGTTAGCCCCGCCCACAGAGCTCGTTACTTCTGGGGAAACATCCCAGGGATGAGCAGGTAAGACGTTTAATTAATCATAAATTATAATGGTTAAATTATTAAAAAACTAATGAAATAATTTATATCTACTGTAGTTATATATAGTTGTTCTTTAGCAGTAGTGGTATCAGTAAAAGTAGCATGTTAGTGGTTAGTACACTTTCTTCCTGCTTTTATAGATTTCGACCAGTCATACATCATTTTCATGTCATCGTAACTACCACGTTTCTTTTGGGTGAAAACGAGCGCTGTATAAGTGCAAGCACCAAATTGAAACACTAGTGGCACCACGACTAAAAGCTGCTCTGTCACATTTTGCACATCAAATAAAAAATAAATAAAAAATAGAGTTTTACATTTTCTTTGCTACACCAAAGAGCAAAGGGAGGTAAAAAGTAGCTTCACGCCATCACCAGAGAGGATGAAAATGGGTAACTGTGGAGTTTGGTTTAGCAGTCTGTTCGCTCTAAAGGGAGCAGACGGTATTTTAGCATTAATAATTCACAAAAATTGTGAGCCGACCTACGTTCTAATTATGGACTTTGAAAGTAACGTAGAAAGTGGTGCTAAACCAGACCTGACCTCTCACCTCGTAGTAAAAAGTTGCGTAATAAGGACAAACTGCTATCAAATGAGAGACAGTGGTTCCACTTTGACAAAGCGATGTAAGTATTTTATAGTAACGTCACATTGGATGGACTGAAACGGCAAAATAAAGTGTTTCAACAACATAACCTAGAGATTTAATATGGTATTTTTTGTCATGGTCGTTCACTTTGATGGGGTAGAATAAAAGGACACTCCACTTTTTCTATAATTTTTCTATATAACTACTCCTATCGTTGATCGGCCATGACATAATCGTTGCCTGGCTCCTAAGCTAAAAAGCAAAATGGTTTTCATATTTTGTTTTATTAATTAAAAAAACTCGGAATTTGCATTTACTTCCCAAAAAGGGGCAGGAGCATGACGGGGCAAAATATGTCTTCTGCGTCTCTTTTACTTCTCTCCTTCTTGTGTCTTCATCTTGTAAAACACTTAGTAACTTGTGTTTTTTTTTTCATGTCATATACAAATGAAGGTTTTTTTCTGCTTATCTCCCATCAGGCCCATTATAGCCTCCCAGAACGACAAGCTGAGTCTCCAGGACTGTTTAGAGATCGGTAGAGAAGCCAGGGTCAGTGATCGAACCTGCTGGTTCCGTTTTATGCGGTCATGTGTTCTCTACAATCCCTTTATTTTCATAATTAATGTGTTTAGTTTTGTTTATTAAGGAACATTAATCACGACTGTATGTTGTTTTTGCTCAGGTCACTAAGGTGAGGACGATCACCACCAATCCAAACTCTCTGAAGCAGGGCAAAGGCGTCGCTCAGCTGCCTGTCCTCCAGAACGGCAGAGAGGACAACCTCTGGATCACTGAACTAGAGAAGTAGGCTTCTTGATACTTATGTTCGTGTGTGTGTGTGTGTGTGTCTGTTTGCGTGTGCAGGGAAAGGTCCTGGTGGATCACATCATCTCCTGGTCTGGGTTTGTTTTTCTTGCTGCTGCTCAGATCTCAGCATTGCTTAATTATTGCTGTTTATCTTTTTATTTCCAGTCCAGTTTTAACATTAATGCTGTTACTCTGGTCAATAAATTTTAACGCTTTGTACTGCTTTTACACTGAATCTAGGCAGAGATAAGAGATAACATTAACACAAAAATACAGACTTTTATACCCACACTGGACAGCTTTCATCTACCCCTCATGATACAGTAAGATCCCCCTGACCAGGATGGACCGACTAGAAGTCCTTTACCAATAGAGAGTTCCCAACTTGTTCAGCTGTAGCATGCTAACAATAGCCAGGTTTCCACTGTGGAGAAGCTGCTGGATAGCAACCCAACAAAAACACTTTTTTTTACCATATCAAAACTAGGAATACCAAATACAAAACAGCAAATTGCATGAGGGAGCTGGGGTGTCTCCGTGACCTGCCCTACATCTTTGTCCCCTGAGACAGCTCTGAGCTCCACCTCACCTTTTTTTTTTTTTAAATTAACTAAGGCTGCAACTAATGATTATTTCCATTATCAATTAATGTGGCAATTCTTTTCTGATTAATAGACATTTGGTCTGTAAAACATCAGAAAACAGTGAAAATTGTTTATTACAATGTCCTGGAGCTAAAGCTGATATCCTCAGATGCCTTCATAAAACTGTCATAAAAGAGTAAGAAAACCCTGCAGATATTCACACAATCAGCCTTTTTTATTAAAGTAGTTGCTGATTAATTTGATGGGACTAATCGATTGCTCTACATTTTGTCACTCGTTCTTTACCAGAATCTTTGGTTTCCCCAAACATTACACCGACGTGAGGAACATGAACCGGCAGCAGAGGCAGAAGGTGCTGGGGAAGGCGTGGAGCGTGCCGGTCATCCGTCACCTCTTCGCTCCCCTGAAGGACTATTTTGCCTGTGAGGAGCTGCCTCCCTTGACCACGTCCATCATGTCCACCACCTCCCCCTCCCCGTCTTCCCCTGCCTCTCCAGAACTACAGCAACTAAGATAGGGGAGGTTGGATAGATTTTTGTATAGCACAATATGTAAGGTGTTTTTGCCCCAACACATGGTTTACAAGAACTAGATGGAGCATAAATTGTCTATAAATGTCTCCTACTACTTCAAAAGAAAAAACAGAGCTCACTGACCGGCTCCTGTGGATTACTGCCATGGGGACATTTTGTCCACTATGCAATTGAATCTCTTGCATCGTGTCACACATGCAGTTTGTCACTTTGGCCTTCAAAGCCCTTCTGTCTTTCTTGGATAGAAAATTCTGCATTTTCATCCTGAACCTTGCCGCCTACTGGAGTATAAAGAACACTGCCAATCCTTTTCTTTTTTTCCTCCATGCTGCTTAGTGATTTGTCAGTGGTGCTACTACTCAGTGAACAGCAACACATTTTAGCTTAGATGGCGTAAAGAAACCTCACTGGTAATAGGGTTACACCGCCACCTCTACATTTTAGTTTCTTGTTTTTTTAAGGTGTGAATCATGTTGAACTGAGAGATGTCTCGCTGCTTTACTGTAATATTTGAATAATTTTATCAGGACAAAAGCAGAACTCATTACTTTTTTTATTGGATTAAGATCTGCTGTATTTTTAAAACTGTTATATTCTGCTCACACATGCCATGTTTATACCAAACTAACTAACCGTCTGTCGATAAAGGTATTTGAGAAGACGCAAGTTCGGACACAGACTTTTTATCTTTTTTACATCAGTTTTTAACTTTCATTCTCGTCCTTCTGTTTTATACTTGTATGTTTAGGGTAACTTTGAGAAGTAGGAAGTAATTGAGGACAGCTTTTATTTGTATTTGGGAAGACGATTGAACTGTTATTGTTGCATTGGTGCTATATGTGTGTACAGGTGTGTGCACTGCCACTTTCACACCAACAAAACTGATAACACTAAGGCCCTTAAGAGTGTTATTGCTGCTTTGGTGCTAATAATAAGAAAACCATACTTGTGATTGCAGTTACCTGCAGCCTCATAATCACCTGTATCGTGTTTTGTTTTAGAGAAACGGTGACGTTTGTAAGGCTTTACTCTTCAGGGCACAGACGTATAACACCTACCCTCATTATATATTACCTAAAGCTGATCTTTCAGTCCAAGAATTTTCTTCTTTTTTATTGTTAAAAATGTTACTTTTCTGTGTCAAGGGAAATGAATTTAAATCATTCACTGTCAATTACTGTCCATTTTTGTTAGTTAATGCCTAACTATGTTAACATAAGCTGGAACTGACTTTATTGTTCAATACTTGACAATATTACTTAATCACTACCGTTCTTAAAGTCAATTAAGTCATATGTCTATCTATGCCAAGAAATGTACACAACAAGCTCTGAGTTGCTAAAGTTACGTTCATTCTGCGGATTATTCAAGTGCACTTGTGTGTGTAAAGCTATAATAACCAAGCAGGATATGCAAATGAACAAGTAATTTAGTTGTCATGTTGAACACTATTTTGAAGCTGCATGCACTGCACAGTCTAACAGAATACCCCTTCATGGTAATGAATTTAACATGTCTTTTTTTTTATATATATATATATTTTGCTGACTGATGATTGTATCATGAACACAGGTTTTGAGAACTGTTTTGGGTGAGGGGCTTTAAGTGTGCTGTACAGTGTGTTTGCACATTTACACCTGGGGAATGAATTCAGAAGGTGTGTAAGTGTGGAGGGGAAACTAAAGTGTCTCACCTGTGCTGCCCCGGATCATCTCTGTACTGTACCAGATACTGTTGTTTTTATATTAATTTTTTTAATGAGGCACATGCAGTGTTGTTAAATGTATAAATGTTTGAACATAGAATGGTGCTCTGTGTTAAACTCATTTTTATCTATATTTGTGATTGAATTAAAATAAGGGATTTTTTAATGGGACTTTTAAAAAGATCAATAAAAATAATAGATTCCAGGGATGGCGTCTTTATTATGTGTCCAATAACTGATGTTTGATATCTATAAAGGTTTTTAACGTACAAACAGGGTACATGTAGCTACCATTTATTTTCTCAGTTATCTCAAGGTTTTGGCAACTTTGTGGCAGCAATTCTGTAGAGATAAGATTATCTAGCCTAAAGCTACTTATAACAGTAGCTTTATGCTCATATTTAAACTTGACTACTTTTAGTGGAGCAAAAAAACTAATTAAAGGGTTCAGTTCTTGCAAATATCAGAATTTTATTCCTGGCAGTGTAAAGAAGGTGTAAAAATCAGGATTTCAACCTTCATTAATGGAAATAGATGTTTATAAAATAGAAAGGTTAACTGACTAAATATCATTTATATAAAAGAATATTTAAGATCTTAAATCTTGCCGTGCAAACAATCCTTAAATCACCCTGTCAGTCTCCAGGTTTGCACAAAAAAAAACAGTAATTCGTTAAAAATACTGATGGTGTTTTGTTGTCTGAAACAAAAGCTTGTGGTACTGAAAAAGATATTTTTATGAGTGAAGGTCTATTTGTGACCACAGAAAGCTCCTAAATAATTCCTAAAAACTTGCAGTTTTTAAGTGAAAACATCTTTAATGTTATTGTAAATACAATATTTATTAGAAATCTTACTTGTACTTGTATCTGAATAATAGATACTAGTAAAATGGAAATAGTTACTAGTAACTATTCAAATAACAACTAGTATTTATTGAATATGTAGTATCTAAACAATAGATACTAGTAAAATGGAAATAGTTACTAGTAACTATTCAAATAACAACTAGTATTTATTGAATATGTAGTATCTAAACAATAGATACTAGTAAAATGGAAATAGTTACTAGTAACTATTCAAATAAGAACTATTATCTATTTAATATGTAGTATCTAAACAATAGATACTAGAAAAATGGAAATAGGTACTTGTAACTATTCAAATAAGAACTAGTATCTATTGAATATGTAGTATCTAAACAATAGATACTAGAAAAATGGAAATAGGTACTTGTAACTATTCAATAAGAACTAGTATCTATTGAATATGTAGTATCTAAACAATAGATACTAGAAAAATGGAAATAGGTACTTGTAACTATTCAAATAAGAACTAGTATCTATTGAATATGTAGTATCTAAACAATAGATACTAGAAAAATGGAAATAGGTACTGTAACTATTCAAATAAGAACTAGTATCTATTGAATATGTAGTATCTAAACAATAGATACTAGAAAAATGGAAATAGGTACTTGTAACTATTCAAATAAGAACTAGTATCTATTGAATATGTAGTATCTAAACAATAGATACTAGAAAAATGGAAATAGTTACTAGTAACTATTCAAATAAGAACCAGTATCTATTGAATATGTAGTATCTAAACAATAGATACTAGAAAAATGGAAATAGGTACTAGTAACTATTCAAATAAGAACTAGTATCTAAACAATAGATACTAGTAAAATGGAAATAGTTACTAGTAACTATTCAAATAAGAACCAGTATCTATTGAATATGTAGTATCTAAACAATAGATACTAGAAAAATGGAAATAGGTACTTGTAACTATTCAAATAAGAACTAGTATCTATTGAATATGTAGTATCTAAACAATAGATACTAGAAAAATGGAAATAGGTACTTGTAACTATTCAAATAAGAACTAGTATCTATTGAATATGTAGTATCTAAACAATAGATACTAGAAAAATGGAAATAGGTACTAGTAACTATTCAAATAGATGATGTCTGAACTGTAGAGCCCTATTGATGTCAATGGCAAAATCTGAAATGCGTTACTAGTAACTAAAAGATAGTTACAAGTAACTAATGGAATAGTTATTAATAGTAACTAAAAAGTAAGTAGCCTTCTAGTATTTAATCTATTATTACTAGTAAAATGGAAATGGTTACTTTTAAATAGCGACTACTAAGTTTTAAAGAATAAATGTTAAAAAGATTTGCCGACCAAAATAAAACTGTGTATTAAAAAAAATAAAATAAAAATAAAATAAAAATTTGTACGTCGTGTCATAAAGGGTCTCGCCGTCGTTACGTTTTTAGGCGTTACCCGTTACGTCAGGACGTCACCAAATCGGTTCTTCCGCTGCCGGTAGAGTGAACGTTAGCTGCCAAGAAGAAGAAGAAGAGAAAAAGCAGAAGTGGCAATAACGTCGAAACAATTACTGATAGGCTTTTTTTATGATACAGGGTTACAGCCGAGAAAACTAAACAATCGTGTCCAAGAGCTGTGAAAGTCAATCCACTCAAGGTAGGTTCAACGGCGCTTACAACACGATGTCATTTAACGTCATTTGTCGGCATGGGAAACGGCGGCTCTGTTAGCTAAGATGGAGCTAGCTAACCGGGATGCGACCGTTTGGCTGCCGAGTAACACCAACTAGCGCAGCACGCTTCTGTAGCTAAGACACGGTTTTAGTAGAAATTCGGACAAATCCAGCGCTTTCGATCCAACACTAAAAACAACGCGTGTCGCATTAACAGCTATAAGCTAACTGAAGCTAGCGAGGTGCCGTGGTGATTTTCAGGGCGGGGAAACACGTCTTACTGGCTGGGAGATAACCCCGGCTCACGGTTACAAGCCAGTGACAGAAACGTAGCTAATTAGCTACATCGTCGGTCGCCAATACAAGGAAATTGTCTACCAATTTAATCAATTGTCAAATGGTTGCTTGTGTGTTAACTGCTCCTGTAGTCTGCTGGGTCGCCGCACAGCTAAGCTAAGCTATTGATGGAGCTAATTGCTTGTCCAGTCGGCTAACCGTTAAGTTCCTCACCAGGGCCCTGTTGCCCTTAGCCAACTGGAATGAAATAGTAGCTAAAAATAGTTGGTAGAGCTCAAACTAACGATTATTTCATTATTGATTATTTTCTTAATTAACACTTCAGCCTATGAAATATTAGAAAATTGTGAAAAATACTCTCAGATACCATTTTTAGGTTGCTGTCCTGGCAACAGTCCTCAACCTCAATATAATACATTTACAACAATATCAAACACAGGGGGAATCAGAAAATTAGCACATTTGAGAAGCTGGAAACTGGTAATATTTGGTAATTTCATATGTTTAATATCTGAAACGATGAGTCGATTGATTACTGACAGTCGTTTTAGCTCTATTAAGTTATTAGCCTAATATTGTTAGTTGACCTGCACTTCATTTGTTGAGGAGTTATACTTTGAATCCAATACATTTGAAAGGAAATTGTTAGTTAGATGTTTAATATGTGTAACAGAGTGACAACGACAGGTAAAACCTCAACAGTTTATTTTATGAATCTGCAACATCAGCCCTGAAGTATCCCTTCATGTGATATTTGATTAATTGTTTCAGCAAAAATGTGAAATCTTGCTGGTTTCATCTTAAATGTAAGGAAATGCTGCTATTTTTTTGGTCAATTATGATGGTATCTGAAGAGTTTTTGGGTTTTGGACTGTTGGTTGGATAAAAGAAGCGCTCTGAAGACCTCACTTTGGGCCGTGGAATATTGTGATAAGAATATTTCAAATTTCTTTGACGTTTTATAGACTAATCGATAATCATGAAAATTATCTGCAGATTAGTCTAATGAAAATTATCGTTAGTTGCAGTATTAATATGTTAGTTCTCCTGTACTTCATTGTTGAGTTGTTATTCTTTGAATCCAATATATTTTAAAAGGAAGTTGTTAGTTGGATATTAAATATGTGAAACGGTGACAACGACAGTAAAAACCAACCATTTTATTTTTGTGAATTGGCATCAGTATTGTATATGACTTGTATAGATTGAAAATTCTCACTAACACATGACAGGATGCTTGTGTTATCTCTCGTTTAGATCCATGTACAGTTGTTCACTAAATTTGAAGAGAACTGTTATTCCTGTAAGGCCCTCAGGCTATTGCACTCAGCTGTTGAGAAAATAACTGACCGGGCCTGACCTGGAGATGATCCCAAGCTATGGATAAGGGCTTCTGCTGTACAGACTACAGACCTTATGGAGACACGCAGTCCTATGTCATTATATATCTGTATCTAATGATTAGAGTGTACACATAATTAATAATTTTGTAGTTTCTGACTTCTGTAATTGATAATACTGCTGTCATCCAGCAATATATGACTTTGGCTCGTCGTATTTCAAATTCTTAATGATTTTAAATTGTGCTTATTATAAAGTATTGTTTTGGGTGCCACCACATTTGGGTGTGCCTAGAGTCTTGTCTTCAGTGTAAAGTTATATCTGTTGATTGATTGGGGCCAGCCAGTGCAACTCTTTCCCTGTCAAGAAGCCAGGGGCCGGGCTCTATTGGGTTTCTAACTGCACCCAAATTCAGAATGAGATGTGAACTTGCTCATGTGATTAGATGTCTTGTGTACTATTTTATGGTGTTATCTAATGATTAGTTGATTAATTGATAAGTCAGAAGACAGAATATTATTCGAAAATGATTTTGATAGGGTAGTTGCATAATTTTTTCAAATGTAAATATTTGCTGGCTTGTCTTTTATGATATTAAACTGAATATTTTGGGGTGTAGGACTCTTGGGTCGCATGATAAAGGGAATGTGAAGATGTCAGCTTGGGCTTAAGGAAATTGTGATGGGAACGTTTTGTTAATTGTCTGAAATATTAAAGGCCAAATGATCAATAGAGAAAATACTCAGCAAATTAATCAAAATAATAGTTAGTTGCAGCCCCAGTGTTGCCACAAATAAAGAGTACATTATTTAAAAGCCACTTTAAATAATTTACACAAGTAATTTCCGACGTATTTATAATTTGCTCATAATAATGACAAAACATTACAGATGCAAATTAACTCTCTGCCGTCAGCTATGTACTGGTAGGCTTACATTGTCTGCTCTGACAGATTAAACCAGTCATCATGTAAATTCTTCTCTCCGTTTCACACGTGTCCTCTCCTCCGCAGACCGACAATGGCTGTGAACGTGTACTCGACCTCAGTGACCAGCGACAACTTAAGTCGTCATGACATGTTGGTCTGGATCAATGAATCTCTACAGATGAACCTCACCAAGATAGAAATGTTGTGTACAGGTAAGACATTTCTTTTCTCCATTTATATATTTTATTTCTAAATCTGTCTCTTATCATGGGTGCAACTGTAATGTTTAATTAACAGACAGTTGTAGGACCAGGAGATGTAAGCATGCGTGATTTTTTGCACGACTGTGTGACTTCACTAGTGTCTTGGATCAAGAGTCAGTCGTTGACAACGTGAGAATGGATCACTGAAGCATCTGTTTTTATCACATGAGCCAATAAAACATGCTCGTGAGCGATGTCCTGATTTAGTGCATTAGCATTTATGGTATTTATATTACCATACTTTTAATAAACATCGTGTTTGGCCAGGTGTTGGTAGTACAATTTAACATATTTAATGGTCACCAAGACCTTCAACATTAATTGTGGATCAAACCCCCTGCATGGTCGTTGCTGTCAGATATATTGGCTAACGCTGTTTCAAAGCGTGATGGAAGCCATCCTATGAAGTGCTACTATCCTACACTCCTTTGTTTCACGCCCATCTGCCTGTGCATGCGTGTGTAGTTCCTCTGTCTAGTTTGTTACTGTCCAAACCCTTTTGTGTGTGTAATTTAAAGGCGTGTCAGAACAGCGGATGCCGGCACAGCTGGCTTTAATCTCTGGTGGACAGATTCATTAGTCAACTGGATTTTTAGTTTAAGAGTTTGTGTCAAAATAAGTTTTATCATAGGGCTGCTCAAGGGTACTAAGTACTTTGGACAGCACACCTGAAAAACTGCCTTGGAAAACCCCAGCAGAAACAACTACCGTATGCTGGAGTGACCCAGATGCAAGGAAATGCCAGCAGATCGTGCTTCATCCAGCCGAGGGAACAACCACCGACCGACCGCACTGTGCCCGGTCGCTCCGCGATCTCCTGCCTGGCCTCCTACACTCCAACGCCCCATTCCCTCTCCGATACCTACAATGGGTTGTGTCGCTATTACAACCGGCGCGCTGTGAACAGTTGGTGATCGTTCCCTCTGGCTGGATGAATATTAGGTGTGATCCATGCACTGCTGCAGCTGGGGGCTCTTTGCAGCTGCAGCAGTGCAACTTTCTAAATTCTTCCATCTCACTGAGAAAAAGAAGACGGGTCGAAACGAAATTTGCTTTATTGGCATGAATGTTAATACACCTGTATTTCCAAAACTAAAGGAAAATACAAAAAAAACAATTTAATTCATATAGTTTGAATGAATAAAATTTTTTATTTCTAAGCTATGTATTGGATATAGAATAATATCTGATATTGTTAATATCTCTGTTTTCTTTCATTACGGCTGTGTCTCCTTCTCGCAGTGATAACAGCAGCCATCTCTGCAACGCTTGGTGGCGCCTTCCTTTCAAACATATTAAATACAGATGCTGTTGCATTCGCATGCAATTGCTTTTAGGCTTGTTAGATCAGATTGTGTGTAGTACATAAATGTATTTGCATGTTACCCTCCCATTACTTTGCACAATAAAATTGAAACACCACAAATTGCATATTCATTAAGGCAAAAGTAGTAAATGAACAACAGGTGCTATCTTGCACTTTTGAAAGACGTCATTCTCTGTGCACACAGATCTGTAGATCAGCTTACGTGTTAATTTGCTGGTGATATCAAGTTTGCACACGTTTTTGGTCACGCAAACCTTTAGTAAATCTGGCCCACAGTGTTTAGGTGGTGGTAATATTGTAGAAGGTAGTGAAAGAATAAGAAGCCAAGCTTTTCAAATGCATTACTATTTAAGAAACTCTTTTATTAATCCTACTCTGGAAAATGTAAGTGCTGAATGTTGTGTAAACACAAACAGCCATACAAGAACTTATAAAAGCAAAGAAAGTACAAGACTGTATTCAGTGTCACCTTTTGAGTCCATTTAAATCCCCTCTAGGAAAGGAGTTTTGGCATGGAGTGAATATTACGAAGAGTGTTGGGATGGCTTTTGTGTTTGTAAATACCGTTCATTTACCGTTGAGACAGGCAGCCAACTCTCAGCTACTGTTTAAAAAACAAAACAAAAACAAAACCGTAAAGTGTTTTGTTCGTTTTCTGTCCTGAGCCCTGTTTGTATTAATTTCTGTTCTGCTCTCGCATAGTCATAATTTGTCTTGTTTTTGGCATCCAATGATTCTAAACATGCAGCGCACACTCGATTTTTATTATTTTAGACATGCAGACTTGTAAAGTAATTTATTTTTTCCAGGTGCTGCCTACTGCCAGTTCATGGACATGTTGTTTCCCAACTCTGTGCCTCTGAAGAAAGTAAAATTCGGTGCCAAGTTGGAGCACGAATACATCCATAACTTCAAGCTTCTGCAGGTTTCCTTCAAAAAGATGGGAGTCGACAAAGTAAGTAGCAAAACTCGTCATCTGCACTCGTGTCAGCTTACATGGTGCACCCAATATAAGTGCCGAAGGTCTGGAAATAAATAAGACTTCTGATCTAGATTTCTGATATTAGAGGGCACTTCTAGGTGCTCGTTTACTCCACTAATACAAACCAGCAAACCATTTCATAATGTTTAGCCCTCATATGCTAAATGTCCTGCATGAAGCCGTGAGCAGTGGTGATAATACCCTGTGACGCAGGCACTGTACACGTGGTTTTCTATTTAACAGGAACGGCTCTGTTTAAGTTCACCTACAGTGTGATGTGAGCCTGTCACCTGCACTTCTTATCTCATCTGAATTATTTCATTTTTATAGGGAGTTCTGTTGGATTAAAATAATATATGTAAAAAGCAAGTTTATGCAAGGGTTTCTCGGGGACAAAATTTATTCTAGTGAGACTGTGGTCCCAGATTAACGTATGACAGGATAAATAACTCTCACATGGAAATGGCTGCAGGCAAAACAGCACAGATAAATTGGACTCCCATTGTCAATGAAATCATTTTTACCTTTAGACAGTATGATATGTATGGACATCTCACAGGAAGATGTATGTAGTTCATTTTCTCCCAGGATTGTACATATATCTCAAAGTTTAAAAAAAAAAGAGGCTGCTTCTTTCTATTGCTGCGTCACATTAAAAGCCTCTAAGTTTTAAATGTGGGGCAGCTGCAGGAATCACATTAATAGTGTCTTCACAGCAGCAGACTCCTCTAACAGCCGTCATCAGTAGCGCTGAAAATGAGTGAGCATGTTGCCTGGTTATGCAGGATTAGTGAGCACTTGGTCCAGATTACTGGGCAACCTGCCCACTCTTTCCAGTGGTGGGGGAAAACGCTGCAAATTTATTTACTGGATTACCATCGTTTCTCACATACGCTTCTGTCACTGTAGATAATAATCAGCTATCGAGTGTATGACGGTGTATAAAGGACTGTTAAGAATGTTGAAAACCAAATGTTTCATAAGTTTACAGCAACTGCTACAACAAAACGAAATGTCTTGAGCCTTGATCACCCTCTGTAGCTGTTAGAACAGAGCATTATAAAATATTTTAAGATTAACTTCACCAGTTGTTCCTTACTGCCACTTGAAATGCAAACTGAATCGCCCCCTCCCAACCAGCTGAGCTGCCTCTGCTGATCTGATCATGAGTCATTTTGGGGTTTTTTTTTTAGCACTTTGTCAGCTTGTCTGTCTCTTTGGATACTCTGCAAGGTTTCATCTGTCAAAAAGAAATGAGATAACTATTAATAGGTAGACATTTATAGTTGCTCAACTGTATTTTCAAACCCCTTTTTTTTTGTGCCACAAAGTGCATTAGAATCAAATCATATGTTTTGTTTAAAATAAACACTGTTCTGCTGCCTTGTATGTTTTCCCTGTACACTACCAGTCCCTTCCCTCTTCTTCTATATCAGGTTTTAAAATCTATTTGTTATTGCTTTAACAGCTTCTTGCAGATCTGAACACTTCATAATGTTTTGAGATTGTCAAAAAGCCAACAAAGATTATACAGGGCAGGGCAGATCCAGCCTAGTTATTTTGTTTTCAGACAGAACATGCAACAGCTTGCAGGACTATTGACAAAGCTGCCATAATTTATTCATGGGTCAGCTTCCTTCCTGCCGTCCATTTGTTTTGAAGACATTACTGTAGATCTGTGCACAGTTTGACGTGCCTGGGTTTTCATAGTTCGTTCTTGCAGATACTTGAACGAGCACATCGGTGTATTCATAGCTGTTCAGGGTTTTAATCCCTGGCTTTGTGTCAGCTCTAGACCCCGTCTTCATGCTTTGTGAGTGCATTGTCCCGTGATGTCAGCTTCCTCCATTGTTGAGTAATTGGGTTTACCGCCGAGCCTCGTCCACTGACTTCTTTTGTTGTTTACTGCTGCTCTTATTTGTCACTGCAGTTTTGAATTTCTGGCTTTTTAATGCGGTTTAATTAACATATTTTTTTGCTAGTGTCATATACAGTCCAGGCGTTGTTGGTTCATAATTTAGTTCCACCAGGTCAGTAGCTGCCCTCAGTGTCACAGTGAAGAATCTGCCACAATATGAGGAAAATGTGCGCTGACGAGATGATTTGCGTGTGCATATTAGGTTCCAACAACAGAGCTAAAAGAGAGTAAATATTAGACCTATATTCATCAGGTGACACACATGAATGATAACGTTCTGATGCTGCTGGAAGTTCAACATACCAAGTTAAAGTTAAAGAGTTCGGTAGAAAAATGTGCTTTGCAAGGTATTTAAAAAAACATAATTTTGATATCTGTACCAAAGCACATTAACTGTATTGACGTTGATGCTGAAAATGTAACGATACCAGCATGCTAACGACAGTGAAGCTACCAGCTGACGCCCTCCCAACACTCTGGTCTTAATTCTCTCGGTCTCTTTGCTTCCAGATCATTCCAGTAGACAAACTGGTGAAGGGGAAGTTCCAGGACAACTTTGAGTTTGTCCAGTGGTTTAAGAAGTTCTTTGATGCCAACTACGATGGGAAGGAGTACGACCCAGTGGAGGCGAGGCAGGGCCAGGACGCCATGCCCACACCAAACGTTGCCACGTCAGCTCTCAACAAGCCACCTAAAAAGGCCATCAGTCAAAGTCCGAGCTCTGGTTGGTCTAGTGGGTCAAATATTTGATATTTACTTTGTTTTCCTCTTGTTAATAACCGTCTCATCTTTGTCTCTTCAGCTCCCCAGAGGCCACCCGTTGCCAAGGTAGCGCCCAAGTTGGCTAACGTCAGTGCGAGGAAACCTGTGATGGGAGGAGGCGATGAGGAGAGGGCGGAGCTCATGAATGAGGTCAGCACGCCACCTTAAAACAAAAACAAAAATCACCAGCTGTACTGTACTATTACTATTGGAAAGTGAAATAACTTGTTAGTTTTACAACAAGCAAATAAATTATACTGCTTTTACATAATATTGTGTCTCGAAAGTGAAAACTTAACTGTTGTTTTGGCCACTTTTTTTCCTCCAAAGGTTGAGATCCTGAAATCTACCATTCAGGACATGGAGAAGGAGAGAGACTTTTATTTCGGTAAGCTGCGGAACATTGAACTGATTTGCCAGGAGAAGGAAGGAGAGGGCGACCCCACACTGCAGAGGATCATAGACATCCTCTACGCCACAGACGTGAGTTTCTGTTTTTACAAGACTGCAATTCCCCCTTTCTTAAAAAAAAAAAAAAAAGTTGAAGGTTGATTAAAATTACTCATCAGAATTGTAACCCCTCTACAATAGAAATGGTCCGCCAGGGCCTACATTGGTATTTTTGTTATTACGATGTAATATCTTGGAGTATCATTAATCTAAGCTAAACGATTATGTAAGTCAATAAAAACTCCCGCACACTGTCTAACTGCTGGCAACGTTTCGGTGCTAGAACTTCATCAGGCAAAATGACAAAAAGATTTTGCCTGATGAAGTTCTAGCACCGAAACGTTGCGCCAAGACAAAAAGTGCTCCAATATACATGACGGACGTCTTTCTGCCGCATGATGAATGAATGCTCTAGCTGTTAAGGTTTTATCGAACAGAATCATGCAAACAACGATCTCCCGCGGGCAGTTCAAGGCAATCCTCTGAACGCCACAGCACAGCTTGTACCGCATGTGACATAATGATGTCATAATGAGCGTATCTCATAATCGCAACCTGATGATGCGAAAGAAAGACACCGGACATTTTTTATTTTAGACAGATTTAAATGGGTTCATGCTATGTGTCCCACAGGCATGAGGTCTGTTTTCAAAGGGTTAAAAAGTACCACCGTTAATTATTTGTAAGACTCTGACTTTATTTTAAAGATTCCTCCCTTTCAGCCATAGATAATGGCATCAATTAAAAGCCGTTAATAAGCCAAAATATGGCAGTCCAATACTGAGTGTTAAGGTTTATATCGTCCTTAAAGGATAAATCTGGTGAAATTCTGTATTTTTGTTATTGTCAGTAGGTCACATTTATAAAGACCATACCCAGCACTGATGGTATCTACTAACAACTACTGATATCTCTTCTTCCTCTGAGCCATAGAGCTCCGTGTTTGTCTGAAAACTATTAATGCATGTATTTCTGTAAATGGCATCATAGAGTACGGTCTAGACCTGCTCTTTTATGAAAAGCGCTCAGAGATAACTGTTGTTGTGATTTAGCGCTATATAAATAAAATTTAATTGAATGTATTTGTGGGCTGTTTTTAAAGAAAATAAACTCTTCATTAGGATCCAGTGTGCTGAGAGCCAGCAGGGCAAGAGGGACGAAGTAACATATTGTCGATTTAGCCTTTATTCTTTTAAAGTATTCCCTGTAAACCAATATGTTTGGAGTTCACTGCCAGATTAAAGCCCATTTGCTCTGCTGCTAACAACTGCTGATGCCATTGTAAATTCCTGCAGAGGAATGGTATGCGGCCCGCTCACCGAGGCGCAAAGTCTTCAGCAGTACTTCTCTAGAAAACATGCAAAGCTCCTGTTCACATGTATTCTTCTGATCATTGCAAATACATTTTTGTGACAAAAGTTACAAGTAAATATCAAATCTCTTGTTTAGTGTGTGTTTGTAGTGTTGCTGCTGTGGAAATTAATTTGTTTTAATCAGACAGAAAGAAAGAAATGTAATTACTGATCAGGGTTCCCTCTTTTCAGCATGTTGTCTGTTCCTGTATCTCAAGGTCATTTTGCAATTTCCTTTTTAATATGAACTCACAAAGTATATCAGCTGCAAGAGGCACAAGAAGTTAATACAGCCCATCTGAAAATTGATTTCTTTATTTGAGGATCTGAGAGGAGGAGAAAAAAAGGTTGTACCGAACTGAAACATCTTTTAAGAAAAAAAACAAATGCATTAAAAGCTTTTATTGAAGTTTTCGATCCGAGGTTCGAAGGTGTTTCTGAGAGAGAGAGAGAGAAAGAGAGAGCAGCTGTGATTGAGCGAGCCTGAATGAAGAGAGGGAGCGGCCTTGGCGATGAACACAGTGAATCAGAGAAATAAAAGGAAAACAAACCTACGCCACCACAGCTGGACTCTAATTCTACAAATAATAACTATATTATTAACTAACTGTTGGTGCTGCGGTTCCTTCATCACTCCCAGACTAGTTTACTACACCTTGCTGCTATTTACTGCACTGCTGTTATTTGCTTGGAGACAATACTGCACTATAAATTTAATTTTATTTTATTTTACTTATTTCTGTATTTTTACTTTCTGGTCACTTTCTACTTTCTCAAGCCACCTGTATTTACTTCTCTGCCTGTGTGTGTTCCAACACCAGAATATCTCCCTGGCCATCAATAAAGGCTTATCTTATCTAGAGCTGCAACAATAATTAAACTGACTAGAAAATCAATTGGCATCTTTTTTGATAATTGAATTATCATGTAGGCATGTTTTTAATCAAAAACGCAAGATAATCTTTGGTTCGAGCTTCTTAAATGTCAGGATTTTATGTTTATGGGAAGTTTTTTTTTTTTTTTTTTTGCCTTACATGACAATGAACTGGTCATCTTTAGGATTTTGGACTGTTGGTCGGACAAAACAAGACAATTAAAGACGTCACCTTGGACTGTGGGCAATCATAAAGGACATTTCTCACTATTTTACACTTCATGGCCAAACTGTTCAATGTTCAAGAAAATAATCAGCAGATTAATAGATTGTGAAAGTGATTGTTAGCTGCAGCTTTCACCTTAAAGTAGGTCATTAGTAGGACTGTGCAAAAAAATCAAAACAGATGAGTATTGCAAGATTAATGTCCATGATACTGTGTCAATTTCCTAGCCCATTGTATTAATACATAAAAAAAAAAAAGGCTCTTTAACTGTTAACTTGCTAATGGACATTAGCGTCGCCATAATATAATCTTTACAGACTACACATTTTGCTTCATATGCTTAACATCCTGAACGACATAGTGTGCAGATACTTAGAGGCGTTTGTTTCCTGTGCTCTGGCTTGATCTGCTGCTACAGCACTCCACACTGACCCGCTACAGCAACCCCAGAGGGTCAATACTCCCAGTGGCCTATATAAATACTACTAGCTACCACTAGGTGGAGACATTGCATGCCAAGAAAGGGCAGCACAACGCTGTCTATAAACAGTTATCAATATAATGTGATACAAGTTGTGTTTCAGCTCTGTTTTAAAAATGGTCATCAGAGTATTGCAATGTATCATCGCATACCTTGATGCTTATTGTGAAGTCGTTGCTAAAACCACCTATTACGACGCCAGGTAACCAGTCCGTCATCACTACGTTTCAGACCCCTGTCTGAGTCCAAATAAAGCTCTCGCGCTCATCTCAACATTGTCAATGCACAAATGGTCCGTGGCGCAGCAAGGTTGGGAACTCCTTTTAATGTAACTGCTGTAATGTGTGTGTGTGTGTTGGTGCTGATTAGTAAAGTGTGTCTGGCTTTCAGACAACAAACCAGCAAGGCTCAACCGACATTGACTAATTTGGGGTTTTCTGGCTCCAAAGAGATGACGAGCTTGATGATGGCAAGTGTTGAATCCAAACTGCAGGTTTTTCTACAGCGGTCTCCGGTGCTCGTCATTTACATCTCCCTCCCTCTCTCTGTCTCCCCAGGAGGGTTTCGTGATACCAGATGCTGAGGAGCAGGAGGAGTTTTAATATTCAAGACTGCAAGCAACTTTTCTCTTTAGATGCGCTGGTCTACAAACCCACCTCGAGATCCTTCCTCAAGCCACGACAGCCAGTTTGGTTTTATATCCGACGCCAAACTGGATCTCAACTTGTGGTCCCCTCACCTCACCCTCTCCCCTCATGATCCCCGAATACCAACCTGCCGGACTTCTCTAGCCTTCAGCCGCCGAAACATCTTTAATCCACAAAGCCTCGGTCACCGCCTCTACTTCCTACACACCTGTCACTCTGCCCTCACCCTCACCTGTAACCCCACCCCTCCCCCAAAACCAGATTGTGCAGTACACATCTGGTTTTTGTAATGGACTTCAGTGTGAAAAAACACTGTGATGTTCTCTGTGAGCGTGTGCATGTGCGTGCGTGTGTGTGTGATTGTATGTGTTTAAAAAAATCAATTTGAAACAAATCAAACGTGAAGAACCTCCTCTGAAGACCCGGCTGTCAGTTCACTGATCACTTTGTCCCACACTAACCCCGTCAAACACGGCCGCCATTTTGTGCCTCTCCTGTTGACACTGAATAATTAACTAATTTGCATGAAGATGAATTGAGGCAAAGGAACAAAAGCACACACATAACAGTTAGTTTAGCCTCAATTTGAACCAAATCCAAAGTGTATTTTCGCCACTATTGGCTGCAGCAGGCTTTCAGAAGCACTGCTGACCGTATTTGCCAGTCGGATGTAGCCGATATGTGTCTAAGCAAAGTGAAATGAAGAGAAGGCAACCTGCACACGTTGACGCTGAAGGGCTCAGGGTTTTGTTTGGGACAAGACAACAGTCGGGTCTTCTCTTGGCCTTTTTTTCTCCAATCTGTTACTAATCGTCGCCTTCATCCTGATTTTGTCCTGTTCAGCTGTAGAAGAGCTTTTTGTAAATGTATGCTACTGTTTTATCACATTGCCCCCCCTCCCCCCCAACCACAACCACCACATTGTATTTCCTTTTTTTTGTTTGTCTTGTTTTACATGTTTTGACACGTTTTTTTTGGGACGCCTGTCAGTCATGCTCAACTACTACATTTGTTTTCTTTTTAGGTTGAGTGTTTTTTTTTTCTCCTTTCTCACCCTCACTGATCACTTTGTTGGAAAGCTTTCTGCTCGTGTGAAGAAACTTGTTTTCCCAGCTGCAACAACAGAGAAAGAGGGCTTTCGGAAAGCGGTTGCTGTTCTTGTAGCAGATCAGTTGTCTATTTTATTTCCACCCACGTGCTCCCACTCGACCTTAGTGTCCACATTTCAAGCCTCCTGAACGTCTTAATCCCAGGAAAGTGGCTTTCTCATTGAGTCTGTGTGTTGTTGTTTTTTTTAAAGCTTTCTCAGACGGCAGCCTTTTGATCAACACGCGGATGTTTAGTAAAAAGATGAAAAAAAACAAGTCAATCAGCAGTGATTGTTCTGAGCGACTGTTTTAAGGCACATGCACTGTTTTTATACCAGTGGTCCTTACTCGGCCTCAAGCCAATATAAAAATAGTTCCTGAAAGGCGACGGAAAATTGAACACTGTGAGCTCTGACCGTGGCTGAAAACCACATGTAGCTGACCACAGTCGAGACGACCGTCTGATACCTGAGCTGAGCGGCTCGTCCGGTGGATTCATGAATCTTCTCTGATTTACAGATATTGGATTTTGTTTTTCCCAAAGCTGTTAAATGTGGGATCAATTAATTATAAACTTGCAGCACAGAAGGCTTATTCCTTTTTGGGAATGCAAGACAGGTGTCCCCCCCCCCCCCCACACCCTCCCTTTCCTCTCCATTTTCTCCCCCCTTATTGACCAATTTTAATACTAGTATTGTTAATTGTGGATCTAATTTGAGACCAGTTTTTCCACTGTACTTTGTAAAAAGATATTTGCACCTCATTTGAAACAACACAGTGGTGTTGATTCCACATAAACTCTGTTAACGGCAACATGTTGGAATACATAACTTTATCAATGGCCTTATTCAGAAATACATTTTTTTCATAACATTTTTCATAACTTTATTTTACTTCAATGTAAGTCTGCTGTTTTTTGGGGCAAATGTTTGTACTGTTAGTCATATTTTTATGTGTTCTGAAAATAAACAACATTGGAGGTATTTTGGACGAAAGCTAAGATGTGTCAGGGTGCAGCAGAACGCCTGTCTTCCATCAAACACTCTCACACACAATCTCAATTTATCTCCGGTGAATAATTTGTTTCTCGTGCCGCCTGTTCGATGAAAAGGTGCAGGTTTGTCTCCACAGTGATCTAAATGTAGACTCACAGCTGCAGACTCACAAAGTGTACTCTGTAGAATTAATTTAAAAGATGTTTTGGCTTTGGGCTGATCAGCAGCTGATCCATCAGTGACTCGGACATGCAGATATTTAGTGTTACAGCTACACAAAAAAAACCTCTCAAGCCTTTAACAAACACTGCCGCAAGTATTTAGGTTGAATGTTGCACAAAATCAGACGGTGCCTGGGTATTAGGTGTTTTGTATTTCCTGATAGTTGCCTTCAGTAAAGAAATACATTCAGAATTTATACCTTTTTTTTTTTTTTTTTTTTCACACTTTGAACCAAGGTGTTTCTTGCTTCTTAGTCACAGTCAACCTTGTATTGTGGTGATGTGCAAGTTCAGTAACTTATGTTTTGCTGTTGTGTGCCTGTACTTTTCCAGCGAGCTTGATATTAAATCTAACTGAGGTGACTGTTGTGACCGACTTTCAGCTTGAATTTGAGCGTTTTCGCACTTGTTTTGGGTGAACGCTGCAGGACTCGTAGCTTATTTTACTCATAGTCCCCCAGTTTTGGGGAAATGATCATACATACAGACGAGTCAACCAAGTTGGTCACCTCTTCAGTCTTAATCTGGCTGCAATAAAAGCCTGATCGAGCATGATCTGGAAGACATTTGGCCAAATATTAAAACTTCATTTAGGTTAACTGATCCTACACTGTTTGGTTTCCAACAACCTGAGGTACTGTGTATAATAAGGGCTCCGTTTCCTGATGTAACCCAAAATTAAAGCTGAAAGTCAGAACTTTTAAACTTTTACCTGAAAGTTATTCTTTAATTTCAAATCTAATGTGCTGGAATATTAAGGCAACGTGACAAACTGAGAAGGTTTAGTGTTTCCCAAAATACTGCTTACTGTCAGGATCATCTGTCAGAGAAAAGTGCTTAAACAAAGGCCTTTTAATAAATGGAGCTTCCCAACAGGCCTGCACCTAACGTCATTATCGATTAATCTGCGGATTCTTTTCTAGATTAATTGTTTAATCTATAAAAAGACTTATCACAGTTTCTCTAATCCAAACCTATATTCAAATGTTTAGTTTTTTCTTACAAATGGTCCAAAACCCAAATATATTTTATTTATAATAATATAAAACCGCATCGTCACATTTTAAAAGCTAGAACCTTCAAATGTTTGGCATTTCTGTTATTCATATTATCAAAATGAGTAGACTAACTGATGCCCTGATAGCTGAAACGCAACCAAATAGTTGAAAGTTAAATTGATATTTGTTAAAACATTTCTCATCTCCACACAAAACTGTTAATACCGAGCTGTTAAGGACCAGACTTCTTGTTGCAAAAGGCTCAACTTTTCTTTACAAGAGATCCTGGTGGTAAGACAGTTAATTTTGGAGAAACCCATTCATGTTTGTTAAGTTTGTCAATGCCAAGACGAATCGTAGCATCCTGAGGACAGACCCACACTGCAGGACTTTTGGGGGAACCACAGCGTAGATACTTCCCTACTGTGAGCCTTCTCAATGCAGGAACACCTGAACACTTGAAACTGTAGACAGAACAGCAACGATTCGAGCAGTTCGTGAAGAAGTGCTTTGTGTTATGCAATGTTAAAGGGGGAGCAGATGTCCCCCCTTTACATAGTGGCCTCTGTACTGAACCCAGTGCCAATGGAACCTCCTCCCTAATGATCTGTAACTGTTTTTTCTCGTTATGTCTGGAGAGGTTTTGACAATCGCCTGGTTTTCGCAGCTTCAAGACGTTTTCCTGAAAAGTCATTGAAAGTATTTTTAAGTTTTGTGTCGACTCCTGTCTGGTTTAACGATGGTAGTAAAATGTGCTATTGTGAGATTTTACTGAGAAGGATCGTGTGAGGTGTTTAAAAAAAATTTGCTGCAAGAGTTTTGGGACATTTTCAGCGACACACAAACGCACACCTGAAAGAGTTATGGCCACTCTGGGGATCCATAACTATTATCTCAAAACAATCGTGACAGATTAAAATGGGGGGATAAAAGCAACGACATACGTGTAGATGCTCAGTTTGGCTGCAGGTGTGAGTGTGTTTGCAGAAAATGTCTGAGCAAAGTGCGATGGCTATAAAGGTAACGATGATGCTTCTTGTGACCTCTGACCTCTTCTCCCTCAACGATCAGTGCCGATAAGATGCTGTGGGCCGAGTTTCTTCCCCTCTCTGTCTCCTGTTTCTGCTGGACTTTGATGTGTTTCTTATACTCTGGTAAACTCGATTTTCTTCAATCAAGTTTGGTACAGACAATAAAACAGTATTTCCACTGTCGACACTGGCCTGTGTTTGTTTGTTTTGATTGAATGTCTGAGTTCCTCTTTATGTACACATCAGCAGTGTGAGTGCCATGAACGTTTTGTCCAAACCTGTACATCAGAGAGAAGCACGAGATGTCAAACTCCCAGATACAAGATTAATGTTTCTGCGTTAACAAGACTGTGAGGGATACAGTTTGCAGTATACAGTAGTATGCCACAAATCTGAGGCAGGACATTTAAAACTATTATGATAAAATCTTTTTTCAGGCCTTTATAAAGTAAATATCTTCAGAGAAAAAGTTGCAGGTATTTAGTCACAAACCAAATTATGGGTACGAGGCATTAAAGAAAGCAATAATCTCCACATCAATTTGAAAACCAGCACAGATTTTAATGTTTTAAAAAAAAGATTTTAATTAACCAGTATTGTCAGCATAATTTTTTACATTTTGAGCACCTCTTTTTTTTATGTGTGTAATATTTTGAGATTTGTTTTCTTTTTATTCTATGGAATATGTTGGTGTGTGTGCGTGCATGTTAATGTGCATGTGCCTGTGCCTGTGCGTGTCACCTGCAGGTGGCGCCAAATATCTTTGACAAATCCTCAAAGATTGGTGGGAGGCAGTAAAATTTAAATGTTGATGAACAATTAAAAGATCTTTTTGAGAACTATCTCTTCTAAAGCCGTCACATAAATGTAGTAAAGTTTTTCCCCTCTTTTAATGTAGTCAAGTAAAAGTGCAAAGCCTCACAAAATATTCATTTGGACTGCCAGCACTTGTACATGATTAATCAACTTCAGTGGAAACAGAATGTGTTATGTTCTACTGTACTGTTGTTTTGACAGTAATTGCCTTTTTTGTAATAGATTTGTTTTGCCTAATTGCTTCTGTAATTACTTAAGGATGCAAATACTTTTCCAAAACAAAATTCATCTCTCTAATTTATCTACATTTATTTAAAAAATAATTACATATGTATATAATGTGTGTGTGTGTTATATATATATATATAAATGTTTAATATAAAATGAGACTGTTCATACGAAGCATGAGGCAAATCAAATGAACATGATTACATACAGAGACTAAAGTTAAACAAAGAGATAAAAGCAGTTGTTGTGAATCACACATGATCCTTCAGTTCAGGCCTGCAGTTGACCTTTGACCTTCAGCAGTCCAGAGCTGTAACATCAGAAATTGCCACTCCCTTCCCTTTAATCTGAAACAGACAAAGAAGTTCTCAGATCCTTTACTTAAGTAAAAGTAGCAATACAACTATGTAAAAAATAGAGTATAGTACATCTGGAGTATAGACAAAGAAATTTGATTTGCTGTGCAGTTACTGTATCTGTTAAGTCACGCGCCTGCAGCTTTGTGGTACTTTGTGGAACATGGAGTTGTGTGGAGACACTTATTCTTGATCTACTGTTGCGTTTGATTTTCCCGCATTTGTTTTGGACAAAAGTGTCAAAGTGCCAATTGAACAAATGTAAATGTAAAGAAATGAAAGTAACAGGACTAAGAGTCTACAGCCATGTTCAGGGCTCCGCGAGCCTGAACTTGAGCAGCCTCACAAAATGCCAACATCTGCATTTAAATAAAAACCTGCTGATGTTTAGCAGGTCATGTTTCATGGCAATCTATACAATATTTGTCAAGAATTTTCAGTGTGGACCAAACTACACGGACATCACTAGAGCCAAGCCTCTTGCATAAAAATATCACATTTTTCTGTGGTAAGACCACTACTGTTTCTGAGATACATTTGGGTTTCAGTGTTTGCCAATCTGTGGCCGCAGAAACATTTCCCTGTTTCAGTGCTCTTTCAGTGTGCAGACATTTGAAATGAAATGTGTCTTGGCCGGGATTTAAACCAAAGGAAACACTCGGGTGTTACACGGCAGACCCTGTGAGACAGACACAATGACCCAAGTGCTGTTTGCACTTGGGTCCCGGTGCAGTCATCAGTGGCACGCTGTTCCTGGACCAGGTGATGTTGGGTTTAGGGAAGTCGTTCTGAGCCTCGCAAGATGCAACCTGGATGGGGAGACACATTAAAAAAAATCTTTAATATCTTAAAGTTGGCCACTGAGGCAGTAAATGGGAAACACACTATAGACAGCTGGATCTCAGTGGATAAGATTAAGTGGACCCACCTCACTGGTCACAGATATATCAGCACAGACACCCTTGATCACTGGAGCTTCTGGAGGAGCTGAATTGGGAAACTATTCACTTATAATGAATAACTACGTCATAAAAGAAAGATCTTAAGACCAGAGGTCTCACTTTACTGTAATTGAGTATATATTACATTTTCAGTTTAAAATCAGCAATTTATTACTTGACTTTTGATTGTTTCAGCTCGAATCAGTTGGTATATATTGCATTGTTTGCCTTTACCTTACGTTCCCTTACCTGCCATGACTTTGTCATAAACTAAATTCAGAGTTGAAACAGAAACAGAGTTAAACTTAGTGGAATAATCAGTTCATTTTAGGAGAGAAAATCAATTAGCAGCTGCTCAGCTGTGAAAATGTGCTGCTTGTCTCTCTTTTACATAGTCGTTCCCTGAAAATCTTTGATGGTATATGAAGGACATTTTTTACTATTAATCGAGACATTTAACTTCAGACTAGTTAAGAATGGAAACAATTGCAGCCCTAACTAAATCTTACTCTGCTTGACCCTTAAAACTCACTGAGGGAAACATATTCACAATCTATTGGAAAACTCAAGACTGTTTCTCATAATGACAGGAGCAGAGGATATTTATGGACGCTCACACAATGTCCCAGTCCTCTGTCCTGCATGTAAAAGCCAGCCTCACACATCACATTGCCGTTATTGTCTGGTTTAAAAAACATCACCAAGTCTCAGAACTAACCATGTCCTGCTTTGGGGCTCCTGCAATCTAACTGCTGTATTTCTTTACAGCAGTAAAGCAGTCTAAAAAAACATTTAATTATCGACTCTAGGCAGATATAGCACATGCTAAAATGCACTGAAGCCTACAGCTACATGTTGGAAGGTTAACTGGCGAGTCAGTTACACGGTAATTAAGTACATCTTCAGATATTTTAGGAAGATATCCAGAAATAAGGGCTGAGATGCTGACAAAGTGTGAAATTTGTGGAAAAGGCCACCCTAAAGTGAAGACTAATAAGACTAATAACATAACATGATTAACTACATATACTCACACACATCCAAAAGCAGCACTTATATTGGAGTTAACTAATAACAAAACTTTTGGAAATGTCCGACACATTTAGTTTTACGCTGCATTCAAACTCCTATCAGGGACTATTTCTCCTTCACTAAACTTGTGTGTTTATTAAGTAAATAAAAAAACAAAGACTCACCGTTCAAGTTAAGGAGGCAGATATGAAGAAACTGTTCTGTGTAGGAGAGCCATTTTTTTTATGGCTGCTTGTCACATCCTGTCCTGAAATAATAACTCTGCAGTGTGGATGAAAAGTTACTGTGGGGCTTTATTTGTGTGGGTTAGAAGAATCAGCTCATCCGGGTTTTCTTCCTGCTACAATCTTCGTCTCCCAATTCACACACAGAGATTCCTTCTAGGCAGAAAGTTCTCAAGGTCACGACAATCAGCCTACCTTCTCAGCACTGCCCACTCTACGTTTAATTAGTCATTTAAGAAATAACTAAGTATAACTCATTTAATTTGAAATAAATAATAATAATTGTATTCAGATGACTTTATTAAAAAAATTGAAAATTACAAAGCGTTTGTACCTTGGGAGGCAACAGCAATGTATGTTTGACACAGTGAAAAAGACAATTATCAAACATTTAAAAAAGCATTTGATAACTCTTTTTTTTGCATCTGTTTTCCAAGTATACAGAACATGCAAATACTTCACACCAGGGATCAAAAACATCAATTGACAAAAATTCTCAATTAAACACAAAATTCAGTAAACTACAGAGGAGTGATTATTTCCCTACCATCCACATTTTCATTCCCCTCTTGTAGACCTTTCACTCCTGATGAAGGACAATGCCGAAACACAATAATGTGAACAGTAAATATTTAGAATTTGTAGCAAGAACCAAGTGGGTCCATTAAGTACCAGATAAAGTCTGTTCTCAATGGTGTTACAAAATCAACCCAGTTATTCCATAAATTTATCTGATTCTAGTCAAGTCTCGATAACTATTTGACCACACCCTCAGAGGGTTACGTGGCTGAAACATCTGGAGATGCTTTTAATTTATTTTCTCTTCATTGGGCTCCAGAGACAAAAAAACAACAACAACGGCCTCATAATTCGTCTGTAATCCATGCTCCTCTGGCAAACATTTTATAAGACTATGGTATATCATTATGTTGACTGTTTACTTTGAAGTACTTTTACTTTGCTTTAGTATTGTGATTGATGCTCCTCTCTACTCCACTACATTTGAGAGTGAAATATTGTAATTTGTAAATCAGTTATTTTGCAGATCAATATTTTACAATAAATTAACTCCACCTAAACTATCTAAAACACAAAAAGTGCCAAAGGGCTTCTTACAATACATCAACATTAATCAACTCAGGTTGGAATAATACCGTAAAACTTGCTAAAATCACTGAATTGACCCTGCCTATATTTGGGACAGGCCTTTAATTCCTTTTGCACAAAACTGAAACTACTACGAAACAGTTTATTTATTTCAAACAGAATAATACTTGTTAAAAAAAGATCAAATAATATCAAATACACGTCAGTCATTTGATCTGGCTCCGACAGACAGCTTACGTGCTTTTATTTCAAAATAACATCACGATAACAACAAGGTGCAGGATGAGAGAAGTTAGTAGACAGAGAGCGATGGACTTCACATGACAGGATTCACAACTTGGATTACTTTTTCTGAAAAGCTGTTTTAATTCTTTTGATGGGTGGACCCTTACAGACTAAAGGAAGATAATTAATCAAGGAACGGACACATTTGGGCTTCAAAGGTAAGGGCAGTCAGCACTTTTTTTCCTTTCCTCTCG